GTGAAAGAATTATCAGTTCCACACGCGTCAATACTGATACCCGGAGCACAGACCAGCCACTCCAGGTGTCCTGGAGGACTTCACAGCAATAGTAGTCCTCGCCTGTCCCTTCAAATTCCATATCCAACTAGTAAAACCCCTTACTGCTACGTGCAGCGCAAAAAATTGCCCATCTACCGTGCGCGTTTTTCCAAAGTTGACTGCAGATTACAGATGACGTTGGGACTAAGTTTATCACGTGGGTGAATCCATGGCGAAATTTACTCGCACGTGGGAAGCTCGTGCCCGCCCCACCCGTGAACGATGACGGCATAGCTAAGCAAGTTTCGTGTATTAGACCGTAAATTTAATTCCATTCTGAAGTTTAAGACACTCTGTTCCTAGGGGCAGAATTTAAATGGCTTAACCCAATGGAGATCAAATTGGTTTACGGTATAGCCGTGACGCACTACAAATAAACCAGGTCCGAAAACCCACTAAATCCGGTATTGTGACATTTTATTTACATTCAATATCACAATCTCGTCTGCATAGTTCATGATGAGTGTTCTGGATTTTGGAAGTCTACGCCAACAAGTAGTGATACAACTCTCCAATCATTCTTCCACCCCGATGATCTCACCGAGTCATTACTTATAATCCTATTCTTTTTTTTTTGACTTAACTTACTAGCGTGGCATCGACAATTGAGGCTTTCTGCTTCTGTGTCCCAGCCTCGGCCTCCATGTCTTGGAGCTGTTGCAATCAGTCTACTTGCTCATAGAGAGTGATGTTTGACTCTTCGATGGTACAGACGAGCAAATTTACATGCTTTACCGCTGTACGGTACGTTCCAGTAGCACTATAAGGCGCGTAGACGAAGATTTGTGTACTCGTTACATGCATCCTGTCGCAAGACCATGCTGAAGACTCGTTGTTGGTGGTGCATGATCCATGGGTTGTGGCTACATCAGAGTCGATACCACTATAACGCACTGCTCCACATATTATACATCACTACTGAGAAACGTTTTGTCGACAAATTAATATCTATTGAGATGTTAAGATTGGGGTAAGATGCGCTATTGTAGAAGAACAAAAAAAAAATGAGACAGTAGAAAAGAACTCACAATGACGATCAGAATAACTTTTGTTTAATCTAAAAGGTTAAAGTAAGGCTAGTGGTGGCTAGCCAGTATATCCTTAGAGGTGAAAATTACCTTATCGACACGTTCAAAGTTTATGAAAGTGACGGCACATGAATACAGAGATAGTTAGAAAACACAGCCTAGTGGCATTATCAAAAGGGCTCTTAAGATAATGACCTTCATAGCAAGAAACGTCAAACGGATGGGATTTCAAGAGGCCCCCGCTAGTGTTCTTTGAGTAACCTTCTCAGCCAATGGTCTCCCAGATCGAAGACTCCACCCATTTATCAATCTTCCCTTGGATCCACAGCCCAAATAACCCGTCCAAAAGACCTAGCATTCTTTGCTCCAAGGTTAGAAGCATGGCCGGGATTGAATGAGACCAGCGTGGGACGTCTCCCGCGTAGAGATTTGTTAGCCCTGCGCTGATACCCATGATCATCTTAGTCTCCTGCAATATGCTTTGACAGGCGTATTCTCGCTGATCTGCGCGCACTCGTAGCTGCAGAAGCTGCTCGAGTTGTTCATCATTTGGTGTCGGGATCGACATTCTATTAGCCACTTTTTTATTTTAGCCTTGCATTTATGTCACAATTGTGGATAGAGTAAAGTCTCACTGTTGGTGAAATAATCCGGTAGCTTTGATAGCGAATGATAGAAGTTTCAACCTGTGACTTAGAAAGTGATGATTAGCCTTTAGTCTCAAAAACCTTGTTATTTTGCTGCCGAGGCTTACTTTTGGGATAGCACCAAGGCTGTGGTGCCAAGTGTGATGGTCAAAGGAAGACGAGATTTGGGCTGACTGGGAGGATCACAAATAACCTTTTATTTGGGAAACCAGATTTCTACTAACATGTTGTTGCGATTTCTCGCCCCAAAAAGGAAAAAGCAAATCGGGTGAATGCTAATGGGTGTTTTTAAAAGCGATAGTCAACTCTAATACGTTCGAAACTATATCTTTTGGCACACTGATCACATCGATGGTAATCAAAATTTGAGTCCAACGGGACATTTGAAATGGTAGCCTGAGAAAGGATATTCAGAAGTGAGGGTTAATTGAAATCAAATTCAGTTGGTAGATTTGTTGTTTTCTTTCGAAGAAGATTCCCCCTAAACTCCTTGGTATCGCACCAGACTCTAGTCAGCATTCAAAATGTTTTAATCGGGTTAAGTCTCGGTTGCGATGCCCATAGTCACTTAACTTTGAGCGAATCTTCTACTAGACCCGTCATTGCTTCGTAGCAATCTGAGAGGAGACAGAAGCCCAAGCAAAAAACCAATTGTTGAGGTCTGTACCCTGGAAGAGAACTTTCACTCTGATTTTTGATAGTCGCAATTGTTTGAGCTCTCACTCCAATTTTACAAATATCTCCTGCCAGCGGAAACACAGAGTGTCAAAATACGTTAGTTTTTCAGTCTTGATAAATTTTTATAGGACTAAGTATACACTGAGTAGATGGTTTTAACAAGGTTAGGAACATCTTAGATGTCAATGCGTTCATTGTTAAACTATATGGATGATAGATTCATATTACTTGTTTCTCTGCTTCTACTCTAAATTGTCTGAACGAAAAGTTAGATAAAAGTAAGAGGCAGTGATCTGGGCTGGACAACGAAGAATTGAACACTAATGTGAACCCTGTTTGCCTCCTGGCATACCTTAGGCTTCAGGTGGCCAGCTTGGTTTTCCTCTGTGGTGTAGTGAACTGCGCACCATAAGATTTAAATTTTTTAAGTCAACGTGAAGTTGGGGTAAAATATCTTTGTGGCTGCCCAAATTTAGTCAATTTATTTGTAGCTAGCATAGCATTAAATAAGATTCTAGTTGCAACCAGCTATCTCCTGGCCTAAAAAAAAGTGTTCCTATTCCTTTAGGATCTCTATAACACAGGCACTTAATGAAATCAAATTTTGGTTGTTGCAATGAAACAAACTAGCTTAGGCCAGCCTAGAAATAGAAATGGTGGAGTAAGGACATCTTGATTTTATGTAGAGAGAGATCAAAATTAGTGACAGATGACTCGGTTATTGCAAGTCCTCAACAAAGCCTAATTGCAAGATTCATGCGAAGAACGACTACAACATGAGAATGCAAGGTAGAATGCCCAAAGAGATAAGGGAATAGAAAGTCATTGCTCCTGGGCTTTGTGTATTCAAGATTAAACGCCCTGTTGTTCTATCTGCTTCTCTTAATACCCATAATACTCTCCTCGGCCCGCTTTGCCTGGCAGTGCCGAAAATTTAACAACCTTGAACTTGCGATAATGGATACATTGATCCTCACTTGAATCGGAAAATTCAAGTAGAATCTCCATCTAGCACTATAAGTGGCAGTGATCAACACTAGGCTTTTGGCCAATTCTATATTGTTGAAGTGTCCCTAATACATGGGAACGTGTCCGTTATTACTGTCTCAGATCACGCCTTCGTATCAAAATCAACTGGATTTAATAGTCATCCTTGGAACCAGTTAGAAATTGTTGCTCCCATCGCCAATCTCCAGACTAAGCCCCATTTACCGGTTTGCACCCAGGTTACGGGAGCTTATGTCTATGTTTTGTTGTATATTCTATTCTGGTGGCTATGTAACGCCTAAGCGACGGTAAAGTTACGCGCAAGCAATAAGAGCGTATGCACGACGTACTACATCTTTTGCACATTTACCTCCTGCTATCGACGTCCAAGTAACGTCCGACTGACGGGACCCTAAGTATAACTCTATTATATCTGTGGCACTCTTAGCTTGTGCTATTGATGGCCAGTTAACGTCTAAGTAACGTCTAACTGATGGGAGCTCGTATACAAGCTGGACATTGTATCTTTTCTATAGACAGTAAGTATAGCGCCTACTACGATGAATTTCACGTAGGTGGGGGACGAAACGCATATAATGCGTTTTAGGCAACGATCACATCTTACCCTCTTTCATCTTGCAAGAACCACATCTCACGGTAACTATCTATCTGACCACCCTTCCACCCACCCACCATGGAATCCAAAATGTCCAGGAGCGGTGAACCTAACATTCAACATGTGAAAGAGACGAAATTTCCATGTCCTGTGTGCAAAGGTCGGAAGTTTAGGTCCGAGCAAGGTTTTGGTGATCATCTGAAAAACGTGCACAACATATTTACATGTCTGAGATGTGACGCAATCTACGCATCTAGAGATGACTTAGCTCGCCACAGAAGCGAAACAAAACACAAACTGATACGCGATAAGCTGGGAGACAATGGCGCACCGGTATTCCGCAGTGTCTCCTCGCCCGCAGCAACAAACACATCATCTACTCAGGTGCCTGAGCTGCTCTGTTTACCACCATCCCCGGCCCGTCGATCAACTTCCCAGACCCATCAACCAGCTGCAGAGACCTGCAGATTAGCTTCACAGAAGTATCTATCAAACAAGGAGGCCCCTCAATCACCCACACACCCTCAAGAGCTTGAGCGGGACCGGCCCGCACGTGGTCACGTACAAAACCGATTCCATCAACCACAAAATCAAGACTTCGAACCCCAGGCAGAGGTCCCTCAAGTCCCAGTGGGGTTCTCTCGAGCAGCTTCTCAGATCCATCAAGTACCCTCTCAGATCAGTCAGACACCACCTCGGGTCTACCATACACCAAGTCAGATTAATCAAGCCCCCACTCGGCGTATCAAGACCCAGGTACCAGTCAATCAATCCCCAGTTCAGACCTCTCAGCTCCCATTAAAGAGCTCTAAGTTGCAGCAAGTGCAAGGCTCTCGCCAAGTGGAGGGTTCTCAGTCACTTCAACTCTCGCAGTCTGGGGTGAAAGACCTTCATTCTCCAGCTCAAGACACTCCGTCTCCAGTTCAAATCTCCGAAGAAATGGATCGAATTTCCCAATCCTCAATGCAACTATCCGCTCCAGGTGGCACAACATCCTCAACCCCAGCAACAAACACCACAACCCCCTCCCTATTTATCCCACCCACAACGTCAATCCCAACCTTCTCACTAGTCTACCACAATACGAAACATCGCTGGGCCGACCTCGAACCACTCGAACAGACCCTAATCCTCAAATATCTCCTGGGAAGATGCCACACCCAACAACGTCTCCATTGCCAAGGCTACAACACTCCCAAAACCATCGACACAACGCCATGTCTCAAACGCGGCGAACCACACCAAGCCCACACATGCACCCGAAGCCCAACTCACCGAAAAGCCATCGTCATGGGCTGCAAAATAATTGAAACAACCCTCTGCACCAGCGAACTAGCCTTCATAACCGCAATCGACTTCCTCACCGGTGAAGTCCTGATTAACAGCTACGTGGCACCAACGGCGCCAGTGACGAACTGGCTGACCCCCGTGAGCGGGATAACACCTGAAAAAATGGACGCAGCAGTGACGAACGGCAAAGCGTTCAGATCGAATGTCGACGCGCGTCACGCACTGCAGACGTTCCTCAATTGTGATACTGTGCTCATTGGACATGCGCTTCACCACGATCTCCGGACGTTGGATTTGATTCATGGCCGGATTGTGGATACGTCAGTCGTTACGGCTGAGGCTGTTTTTTCGAATTTTGCGGCGAAGACGGTGTTGCCTCGGGTTTGGGAGCTGAAGGCTCTTGCGCAGGAGCTGATTGGGATTGAGATCCAGACTAGTGCTGAGGGACATCACTCGCTTGAGGATGTGTTGGCCACGAGGGAGATTTTGATTTGGTGTTTGCGGGGTCCGGGGTGTCTCAAGGCTTGGGCGGAGAAGTCTCGAAGTTCGTATGAGATTTTGAAGCAGCAGAGAGGCGAACAGAAGAAAAATGTGAGGAAAAAGGGGAAGAAAGCTGGACGTCATTCGTCAGGCAGGGGTAACGGCAAGAAGAAGCCTGTTGCAAAATGAGAGGGTCTCAACTCTGATGGCCCTGATATTGAAGGGTGAGCTGAGCTAGGGGAGGGATGGCGAAGGAGGCAATTCCCCATCCTCGTCAATCACCGCCAGTCTGACCAAGGGTTCGACCAAGGATGATGACCAGTTGGGGGATCGGCAGGAAGATATGGTGCTTTCTTGAACTGTTTGATTTGTGAAAGTGATTTGATTATCTCTGTTTTTTTAATCTTAAATGCACAGCATGTAAAGGGATAAACACCACCCTGTGGTACGTAGAAACGCAGACAGGTAATTAAGGGTTATCACTGTTGAAAACAGAAACCACTTAGAAGACAAAGGAAACATGGAAACATATCAATACTGGGGATAGGGGGAATTAAACGCCAAATTTAGAAGAACAGGCAAAAAAATGGACAGGCAAAGCTCAAGCAAAAACATTGAAAACACGCCAATAGGAATAAAACTGCTTCTAAAAATCAATGTAGAAGTAACATAATGGATGTGGATGGGGATATCACCTCAACCTTCTCTATGCAGGCATCCAACAGCTCAAACCCCAAAATCCAAGGCAAAAAAACCTTGGCCTTGGGGAGAATGTATCGCAAGGCGAATAAAGTGTTCTAGAGAACGCTCCGACTTGCCTAGCTGCGACTTGCCACACTTGCACGGCTGGGATTCGTGCGACTAGGCTCGTCTTCCTCAAGAACATCACTTAGACGCGTGGGGTGGCGATGGCGTGGTGTCATGGACTCCCACCCAGTGCCAGGACCCCAGCCGGCGCCGCTGTAGTCTGCAGTGGAGGTGGGCGCAGACGGAGGGGCGGAAGAGGCGGCAGAACTGTGCGCGCCGCCCGGCATGTGGAGACCGCCTGGTGGGGAGTGGCCAGGCTCTTCGCTTCCCTCTGAGGGGGCCCCAGGTGGGTAGCTTAACGAACTGCCGTGCTGGTCGTGGGAGAAGTGGGCATATTCTTCGTCACCCGCTTCGCTGCTGCCAACGTAGGAGCGCGCATCGGGTTCTGAGGTTGCGAGGCCAGGGTATGGGACACTCGTGTTTTCATGCTCATAGAGTGAAGTCGGGTAGGGGGGTTTTGAGGTAGGGGGGTCGACCTTTTGGGGTTCGATGAAAGTGTTGGACCCTGTGGGGGACACCGGCGTGCCGTCTTTATAGTATGGTCCGGCTGCGCTTCCTGCAGACTTGCCATGATATGCATCGGTGCCCACGGTTGTGGCTGTCGGTCCACCCGGGTATGGGCCCTCCCGGGTCTGCGGGCGAGTGGTGTTATGACGACTAGGTAGGCCAGAAACCATGGGCACAACCTGAACGCCTCCAACGAGGGTGGGCTCTCCATTGCGCAAGGAGTTGGTTCGGTCTCGCTCTTCTTGTTCACGACGGCCAAGCTCCTCCCAGGCACGCTGTGCCTCCTCCTTTGAAATGTGGAGTTCGCGGCGCACCTCTTTCAGCAGTTCCTCGGCCTTGATTTTGTCCTTTTCAGATTGCTGGGCGGCAGAAAATGCATCGGTTCGGCCTTGCCGTTCTTCTTTGAGCTGGCGTTCCAGGTCTGCCTGTACTTCCTTCGAGCGTTCTTGTTCAGCACGGGTGTCGAAAAACCAACGCTGGAATTTCCGTTCGGAGGAGGCTCGTAGGCGTTGCAGTTCTACCACAGCATGGAATAGATTGGCTCCAGCGGCGGACAAGTCTGTAATCTGTCGAGCCAGTTGCTGGCTAATCGGATCACGCTCAAGATCATCATTGTTTTGCTCGAGCTTGCGCATCCAGTAACTGGTGAGACCCTCCCAGTGCGAAGAAAGCGTTTCCCATCGCTCAAACGCATGTGGAAACCCAACTCGTTTCGGCTGCCGAAGAGCTTGGGGAGCACCAGGCTGTCCTGCGGGTAGTGCCTGGGCCGATTTGGAGAGCCCACTGGGTCTGGGTTGACCTCCGATTTCCGCCGCACTTTGCGAGCGACCACGCTGGAGCTGTTGAGGCTGCTGACCAGTTGCTTGTGTCGGTCGTGACTGGTTAGGCACTTGCCTAGTCGTGGCAGTCAGTGGTACACTCTGGTATTCTGGTAGTCGAGTACTCGGTGCAGCATCTACTGCGGGGCGGTAACCGGATGGTGGCCCCGAGGCAACAGGCATGGTTTGGGACTGTCCTTCGGGGCCCCTTGGTGGTCGTGGGGCTCTGGTTCTTGGTTGGGGGAGATTTTCGGCGGCAACACCAGCAGCGTACTGTTGGACTTGGGGTTGAGCCTGAGCCTGGGCTTGGGCCTCAGCTTGAGCTTGAGCTTGTCGTTCTTGCCCCAGTTGTTGTCGTTCCATTTCCTGCTGTTCCCTCTCTCGGGCCTCGTTTTCCGCTTTGCGGCGAGCCTCTCGATCTCGACGTTGTCTCATTATATCAGTAGGTGTCCTCATCCCGCTCGGTGGCTGTGATGTCCCTGAAATGGGAGTCTGGGGCACACGGGTTTCGCCATTTTGAACACGGCTACTGCCCACAGGGCCAGCAGGGCCAGCGACGCCTACCATATCTGACATAGAAGCATTCACCTCTTCCCAGTCAGTGGATAGCTGCAGTGGTCCACGTATAGCTTCCTCGAGAGCGAAAAGGATTGCCGACGCGGTGCGCGACGAGACTCCGGTGGTTCTCTGGGGCCAGTATGAGGAATTGAGGAGCTGATACGGGTCGTCGATTGTAGACCCGTTTTCATCGGTCTCTGCTTCGGAAAGGGCCGGCTGTAGGTGTGCAATGCCACGGGCTGGGGTGCGTTGCACAGAGACCGGGGTTAGACGCGCCGGTTGGGGTCGATTTGGGAGTGGATCCGGGGCGCGTGAAGAGACCGCTCGACGGTGGAGTGATTGGCGGACCTCTGTTTGGCGAGGGATACGACGTAAGGGACGCTGAGAGTCAGAAGCGCTTGGGAGTCGAAATTGGGAATCGGCTAAAGCAGAAGGGCGTTGCACAGCCGGCTGGCGTTGCCGCGCAAAGGTCGTTAACGTTGATGGATCGTCAGAGTTGTGCGCTTCGTCAGACACTTTTGGGATTTGTCGAGACACCTCTAAAAATGGACGATAAAATTGCGGATTGGACGACAATATGAGTGTTGCGTCACTAGCGGATCTCAAGGATAGCGATCGCAAAATGACCGATCGCTCAGAGTTGGACGGTTGACAGCCCCAACGGCTGTACAAAACAATGCTCAATGCACAATATAATGTAATTGAGAGAAAAGCAGAGGCAATTCGGAATTAGGAGTTGTGAAAGGACGAAAAAGGGTTGGAGTGCGAGGTGGCTGGTTAATTGAGATGGCTGGGGTTGCCGCAGTTGGAGCTGCAGCGCGCCAAACGTGTCTCGGGGATGAAGCGTCAACACTCAAAAGTCCAGCTGCCTGGACTTATATTCGAAATTTTAAAAGAGATGAAACGGAATCATCACGTTGAGAGGAAGACGGGTCACCTTCATTCTACGGCAGGAATGCCAACGCAGCTCCTGCCTTAATTAGCCCCGACGTCAATGCTTTTCGTGTCTCTTTGCTTTTTTTTTGGGGGGGGGGGGGTTTTTCTCGGGGATCCATGCAGATTACGGAGTAGATCCCAAGTTATCCAGTCCTTCCGAGGCAGTATGTTAAATCTCCATATTCTAATGTCATACGGCTAGATCATAACATCGTTGCGCAACCAATTCGGAGGGAAGCTACACTGGAACTGCGAAGTCGAATTGTCCACAGCTATGCAATTTTGAGACTGCATTGGGACTATTGTAGAGGTCCATAAGAGAAATCCCTCAAGGGCTACGTAATTTGCTGAACTCGCGACTTTTAGTTTGGCAGTGCCATGACTTGCGCGGCTAACAAGGAACTAAATACACTAAAGATGTCATGATGCGTTGGCAGATCATTGGGTTTGGCAGTTTTGGGCTCCAATATATATTTCATGATGTAACTCGAACCGTTGCCTATAGCGTAGTCTAGATATCACCCTACTGTGTTCAAGTAAGGTGATTTTGTTTTTACAGTTCATAATCTTTACAGGAATATACATAAATCTTGGTTCGGCTTCATTCCACTGGTTCATTTCCGCGCCCACTGTGGTTCTTTTGGAACAAGAACTACTTTCCCCACAGTTGGCAACCGTGGTGTTGTCTCATCAAGGCTCAACTTCGGCATTGCAAGTGATGGTTAAACATCTATATACCTACAAGGGATTGTTGCATTGATCTACTTCTCTACATCTACCATGACTAAGATGGGATATCAAATCCACATGAGTGTGATACTGCTCAGCATCTCACCACAATGACGTCACCTTCAGCCTTGGAAGGGGGTTCCCGAGGCGATGACAAAGCAAAGAGAGTTCGCCCAACCTTCAAAAAGTGGAAAACAAAAGATCCAGCTGCCTTGGCATGTACTCTAATCTTGAACCCCTCAACCGACAAATCTCTACTCCGTCATGAAAGTGCGAATATGAATAGATATCTCTAGGTCCTTTCAATCCCATAGAGCACGGGAATAGATCGACATTGGTGTGGTGACCCAAAGAGTTAGGCTTCAGTTGTCACAGCGGATGCAGAAAATCCAAGCAGGGCGTTGTGACTAGAGGTGGTCTGTGCACGACCAAAACACCCACACAAACCACAACATAGGCCACTTTTGCCAACCTCTGGCGGTTTTAGGCTAGTCATTTTGAGCATCGGGAATCGAACCAACTGGCTTCGAAATACAGATTTGCTGGAATTTTAGTGATTATTCTCTCGAAGACAGTGATTGTCTAAGCTGTTTACATAACCCTATAGGTCCTCAGGTCTGGAATCCCACTGAGACAAAACTAGAAGCGAGTACCAAATTTCACCTATGGTGGTTGTGTGGACTATGACTTCCTCAAGCAGCTTGCGAGCTCAAATGGTACCAATGCATCTGCACTGAAGGATAGAAGCGACTTCCCAAGCCAAATAAATAGCTCTTTGAGTTTGCCCAGACCGATCAGAAGCGGACATGGGCTTCGCCACGAAGACTCCCTCGGTGCGAATGTCAAAGCGCTCCTGTGGGCCATTCCAGTTCTTCCCTAAGATAGTAGATCTATCTACGGAGTACGTGGATAGTTATTCATGCATCCTAGCTGGCACAGCTCCTTAGCTATCCCCAATACCAATACCTAAAGCCAGGAGGCCGCCAATACAAGACCCCACTGAGACCACAACGAGACACCCAAACAAACACGAGCGCTCCAGAAGGATTCCGTACTACAACGTCAGCAAGATTAACACCCCTGCCCAAAGCCTGGAACCCAGGAGCAAATGAGCAGCAAGGGCCACGCTGGAATCGGAAATTTTGACATCTCAGTCGGGCCGGGGAAGGACTTCTCGCAGCGCCGCGGACGCACAAATACGAAACCCGGAAAGTCTCTCAAAGTCCAGTATTGAGGTAGGTTTCAAACATGCCTTGCAGTCTGTGACTTAGCTCCACGAGAGGTTGAGTGCTTTGGATCGGGGGTGTTTCAGTTGTGTCCAGGACCTTGGTGTTGCAACTTTTGGCCAATTATGGAAGTGTGTTTTGCGAGACACTTCCGGGGATTGACATGGGTTGTCCTTTGGGAAGGGATCTGTTCTAGGTCTGCGTACAAAGGAAGATGGGTTGTGATGATCATCGTCGATATTCATCTTGATTCTGCTTCTTTCCGTTTCTGATCTTAGATGCTGTTCTCGATCCAGGCGTTTCCACTATCGAGAGAGTTCAATGATCTTTGAATGATGTTCAATTGTTTTGGGGCATCCCTTTTGTAAAAGCTAGGAATCGGTGAATAGGGGTATGTTGTACTCCAGTTGCTGCTAGTCCACTGTGAACAAGTCTATTCGAAACTCTATATCTCCACTCAACATCCAATGACTAAAGAATGTGATTGCGAGGACAGGAGGCGAGGGTTTCTGCAGTCACTGCGTCGACGAGGACTTAATCGCTCAAAGATCGCGCACAGTGCATGAACTGGACGATTAAGAGGAGTTGGGCCTGCAGATCATCGGTGCCACTTGGGGATGTGTCGATATTTATACCTGGGCGGGATAGCTGCACTTCGGCTGTAAGTAAAGCGGGATGCATGCAAGTCGCTCGATGGAATGTGGGGCTTATTGGCCTCGCTGAACAGATGTCTCTGGCTTGGCTTGGTTTGTTTATTTTGGTCTGCTTGAAGGCTTGCATAATTACAAGAATGTAGAGTGATAAGAATACTGGGTGTATTAAAACATGAAGCTTGAAGCCCATGAGAGAGAGCGATCTCTGAAATTAGATTCAGCAAAAGGCGAAATATCTGGACAGGCTTGAAGTGAATTTGAATGGTCAGATCATAAAACGATCAAACAAAATGTTCTTCGATAAACCAATGGCAGCACAATGGCAGTATTACAGATGCACAAAATTTGTGATCTATCTACTGTCAGGGTATACCTCGGACCCTCGAGTTTCCGAACATCCTCTCTGTGGAAAAGATATGATGGCTCATCCGAGCACTGATTTAGTAAGAAACCAGGGTAAAACTAGGAGAGAATTACTAGCAGCACAAGGGAGCAAATATAACTCCTCTCCATTCGATCCTATAAAGGTGCAACGCGACATGATGTCATGAAGAGTAAAAAAAAATAAAACCTTTCAAGGTATCTTGCCAGCCACTACTCAAGAGCACCAAGAAAGTAAAAGAAAACGAACAAGCCCGTCACGTAGGTGCCATCACGACAATTTCCGAGAAGGAACGTTGTGGCATCGAAGTGTGAGGCTCGAATATTAACGTTGCTTGGAATGCTTGGAATGTGCAACACACAAAGTGAGAAAAGACCTGAAAGTACCCCCCAAAAATACTACCAAAGTACTGCTCCAAGTTCAAAGTACAGCCAGCAAGTGACAGAGCAATAGACCATATAGATCACGACGATCGGCATCAGTGGCTGATCCCGGGAACTCCGCACCGGACGGTGCCCAGTGATATCTCACATTTTCCATCCCAGCCATCTGCATTGGACTTCTGCGGACTGCAGAGGAGGATTTCCTTTGAAATTTTGGTCTCTCGACTTGCTTAAAATGATTCCAAATTTTGCAGTAAAATCTGGTGGTACTAATAGCTCGTGTCACTTCAATGGCTTCCATTAGCCCCATGTCACAGATCACATATCACAGACACGCAGGAAACACAAGAACACAAGAGTACAAGATGACACATGGGGATATGGATACAATCCACATTGTATTCTGCGGGATGTTTTTCAGAGATATTGTACGGATGGGGTTCCGCGCGCCCTTGCGGAGGGGACCCAATCGATGGGTCCTTGCTGCAACCCTATCCCTACGGTAGGGGACCATGCAAGGTCAGATAGGTCATGATCGTCTGTGCCGCTGTTGTTTACATTGTACATTGGCATGCGTCTGTTTTTTCGGGCTAGCCACCGGGTCATTGTCCTAAGGCTTCCAAGTCAAGGTTATTTTTGGTATTCGGTATAAACACATCCTAGTCACCCTGGCCTCCACTTTGGTCATTTCATTCCTCATTCCACCCTTTTCTCTCGTCCTGTGGCAATCCTCCTCTCTTGATCTATTGTACTGTGCTCAGATCCTTGAGATCTTGCTTACTCGTTTACTTCTCTTTCATCTTCCTCGAGCTCACAGTCCCATGGATCAAAGAAGTTTTTATTGTCCAGGCGAATTGGACGTGTTGTATCAAGACCGGAATCAATCAGAGACAACCGTTTGTATTCCATCGCCCTCCCCTGCAAAGCGAGGATCATCTTATTATCCGGCTGGCCCAAAGGTTCATGAAGAGTCAAATCTCGATCCATTCTACCTCGAGGAATCACTGGCTGCCACGCCGCCTTGGAACCCATACACATCGGACATGCGGAATGATAGCTTCGAAGACGAGAACCAATACTACACCCTCTCCTTAACCCACACCAAGGGTACCCAAGATCAATTACAACACCCTAGACCCGATCGCTCCACACTTGCACAGGTGGAGTTGGAGAACAGCTTGAGATTCCATCGATATACATCCTCCACAGAGGAGCGCAGTCCACTGCATAGCAGCCAGGTCTCGTTCAGCTCCATTCAGACAGACAGCAGCACTCCCGACTTGACGCCTAGTACCTCTTTCTCTTCTTCCTACGATTCACCAAGCTGCCCTGACGTCGTCCTCGAGGCCACCCAGCAGCTGTACAAGCACGCACATCAGGTCCAAATCGAGCCCCGTCGTCGCTTCTATCTGCCTGCATCTACGCCACCTACATACTCTCTTCCTCCCCCGCCTCCCCCGCCGATAGGTCCCGTCAGCTCGGCGGACACTTGTCCAAGCATACCTTGCTTCCAACACTCAAACGACTCTACTGCCACCATCACTATGGGTTACGAGGATGTCACAGGATCATGCTCATCGAGGTCCCGGAGTAGGAAGCAGCCTCCTCCTGTTCTTAACCTGTCGCGGACCGCAAGTTCCCCCAGCGCATCTCGCCGCAGGCAATACAGTCCTGGAACTCGTCCTCCCTTGGACGCTTCCATGATATCTCCTCCATCTTTGATCAACCCAGTCACCATGGAGCCTCACATGACTCACTTCGATCACCCTCTCTTTATCCCTGCAAACGATTGCCCTAGTCCCGTTCCTAGCCCGGTAGCTAGCTCCCCACCAATCTCCCGCCAGTGGACCGCAACGTCGATGGAGCGCCCATCAATCTCAACGATCGATGCCTTTTGTGAGCAATCCGTTTGGGAATCTGACTCTGATACCGAGTCTGCAGGCCGTAAATCTATGTCTCGTCGGCCCATTGACACATTGCGCAAGGTTCGCAGTCGTGCTAAGCTCCGTGCCGCCAAGTCTCAGCCTAAACTTCACCAAACTATGCTTGATGACCAGGCCTCTGACCAATTCCCTCCCATCTCAGATGATATCCTGGGAGAACCGGTCCCGGAAGCTTTCCGTCCAAGCATGGACCGCCCTAGCACTAGCAAGGATATCGTGCGGTCAAACAACGCCCTGCAGACATTGCGCCTTGTCGCTCCTTCTTCCACCTCCCTGACTCCTCGCTCCCGGCAGAACAGCAGTGTCAACAGCTCTGACGTTGACCGCACCGCAGCTGCTGCTTTGCAAGCCCAGTTCCGCCGCCGCCAGCGGTCTGATTCCCACGAATATACCAATTCCACATCTTCTCATTCCGACAAGGATGACAAGGAGAAGTTAACCTCATTCTGCTACGACCAGTTCTCCTCAGCTCCCATCACTGGAGGTCGCGAGCAAAGGCCTCTCTTCCAGCGCTTCATGAACTCCCTGCGTTCATTAAACTGCCAAAAGCCCCCGAAGTCTCAGAAGAAGAACAACGTTGTCACCATCTGATGCATTTAGACTCGGCATTGCTGTTCTCTAAATGTGATTCTAACGGATGAAACCATGCTACAACGTACGGACTATAGCCACGATCACTCCCACGATTTCATCTCACTGTCTTTATGTCTCCAATGTGTCTCGATGATTACGAACACGTCCACTCTCTAATGCCAAACCCCGATTTTGCTTCTCGCGCACAATGAAAATAATGAATCTCCAGACCCGATTGTGGCTGGACACAGACGCGCTCAAGACGTTCCCTATTGCGCTATCTAGCGTCGCTAAATGAACACCAGGTCTGCTCCCTAGACCATGACTACCGACTTATGACTCGATACCCTCGAGCTAACTATCTTTAATTTTCCTACGTGTCTCCTCTTTCGCATTCGCTTCTTCCATCTCTGCTTGCGCTCTTTCGTGTGCTGTATTACCATCGCTTTGTTTTATTACAATGTTCGTCCCACCGGTTCTTCACCATGTCTGACCGAATCATGTCTTACTACCGCCGACATGACAACCATTTCCTTGTTTCGTCTGTGATCTATTATCTTAAAATAGAGGAATGTGGCGGCGCCTTGTGTGGTCTGTGTTTCTGTGACCCAAAATCAATATTCTCTGCACCAATCATTCGCCAGAAATGGCTTCATTACTTTGCTCTTAGAAACGCCAAAATCGTAATCACCATCTTTTACCACAGGCATGAATGACCCTTTGCCACCGTGTTGTCCAGGATACGTTGACGTTTTGCGGAATGCTGGACTGCGGATCTCGGACGATCCTCGAAGGTATCTTGGATACTACCACAGCTTTCTCAAGCCATCCATTGACCCGAGTAATGATGAGATGTAACAACAGCTCATCCTCATCCACCTAGGTGGACAAGACATTATGGGCCTACGCCACGCACGGGGAACCCAACTACGCGGCTCACAACTGCTGAACTACCAACAAGGGGGAAGGGAGTCGCCAAACCTTGCCCCAGGCCGGCACAGGCTCACACCTCAAATTGTGGCCCATCGATTCCAGTCGTTCAACAGCCAATTCATTGAATTACGCACAGCCAGACTGGCCACGTATGCAGTACGTCATGATCGTTCCAAATCCACCATCGTTTGCAGAGTCTCTTGCAGCCGCTTCAAAAGACTAGTTTCTAGCGACAGAATTCGAACCTAGATCCCGGGTCTGTCCAGCACAAGAATACGAATATGCTGGTTACCTATCGATTTCTCACTGCGCTGTCATTCGTACGTTCCCCACAACGGCTGCACCGGGGACCGCGGGCGGTGATGCACTAGCCGCGGAAGTGGGATGGTCTTGAACCGACACGCCGAGGCGTTTGGGATTTGAGGAATTAGGGCTTGGGTTGGCACATGCCAACCAAACACCCACTGACCGACAAATGGCGCCCCCGTTAACACCGCTCCCAATTCGAATCGAAGTGCCCCTTTTCACTACCAGCTGCGCTTACTGTGCTCAGATTTTTTGTGCTTCGCACACATATCTACTCCGTAGATAGGAGGGATAGCCCCTATCCCCTGCATGGGACCCTCAAGGTCCGCCAGGAGCCAAGAGGCACAATGTCCGAGGCCTTGATTTTGGACCTCGGCTGAAAAGACTCAACACTTGTCCATGTATCGATTTTGCTCCGCGGGATGCAAGAGTACAAGTTAAGTCAACTCTATCAGTCTTATTGGTCCAGCAAAGGCAACCAACTGACGCCATGCCCGTCTTTCCCTCAACCCTCTGTCTGATCTCACAAGTCCATCCTCCATTAAGATAACCCCAAACAACCATTCGTTCTCAATTGCTTCTTTGACAGGTAAGGCTAGCCAGAGGGTTCATTCGTGCCGACCAAAGAAATCTCCTCCCCTTATTGCCGGGACTCTTCCGCTGCGACCTCACACGCAAGGTAGTCGATCCACCGGCTGTGCGCTCATTGCGTCCCCGAGACCCGCCTTCTGGCAGGTTTCAGATCTATCAGAGTATGTGATGTGGGGCTGTAGGGAGCTTGATCCAGCACTTTAATGTCTAGACCTTTTCGAGGGTTTCATGCAAGTAAATTTGTTTGTGTAATGACAGCTCCGTACATTGGCTCGGGCTTGACGCGGTAGGGTCACAAGGTGTGACATGTGACATGTGATTTGTGCCTTTTGCCTCATGTTTGACAGGCAGGCGCCATTTGCAGGTCCCTTTTTTTTTTACTATGATAAATTCAATTCTATCTTTGTAACAAACCGCACTTGACCAGGCTGTTGGCTGCTCTTTCATAGTCAAGTGAAATATCTCTGAAATCTCGCAGAAAGGCAAATTCGGATACCACAACCAACCTGCACCACTACCATGGCAACAGCCGTGCCTACAGTGTTGTGCAGAAACCCCAGCGTCAGCGTGTCTCAGGGTGCCGCAACTAGTCCATCCCAAACGACCGAGGACATACAGCCCGGGCAGGCCTTCCGCCCCGCCCGTCCGCCGCGTCAACCTTGCAGTGGCAGCGGAGACACTGCTACCAGTGTTTGGATGCTCGCATCCCCGCGACAGGGATGGACCCTACCCTGCAGCGGACACCCCGAGAGACAGTCAGCCCATCTCTGCAGAAATTTAATCCCGCACTCGCGTCTGCGAAGCGAGAGGAGGCTTTCTCCTTCCTCCATCCCGGTCTCCGGCAGGGCAGTGTTTCGAAGATCTCCAGGCAACGTACGGCCCTGTGTCGTATCCGTGATATACACATAGTGCAAGCTGTAGTTATGCCTGCACAAATCCAAGACAACTTCAACTGTGCTCGATAGCCTGGCTCTGGCCTTCGCCCTTGCTCTCCATCCCCTCCATTCCCTCCTCCTTCTCCTTCATCTCCAAGGCCTCCATATTCTCCTCCCACTTTGGAACATCAACTCTCCCCTCCCACCGTCCAACAACAATATCCCCTTTCCGCCCAAGCTGTATCTCCGCCCGTTCCTCTTCTCCATCCTCAGCCCTCGGCGCAACCTCCGCCGCGCCGCCATCAGCACTAGCAAAAACAGCCTGTACATCCAATTCCTGAACTGCAGTCTCATACAGTGTCCGGAGCTGCTCCCTCTTCTGCCGACGCAATTCCGCAACCTCAGTATTGCCACTGCCATCCGTCCTTGTAGATGTAGCAGCAGAAAGACCCGCCCGCACAACAGGCTTCTTCACGACACCCGGTCCACTCCGCTCCTCAAACCCGCGTAGCAATCCCTCCATGATACCCAGTACAGTTCCGGCACGCATACCAAGCTGCGCGCCGACGGGGAATCCTCCGTCGAAGCCTTCTTGCACGTGCGCGCCCTTTGAGGCGGACGTGCCGTCGCGGTAGCCTGCTGTGACGTGTTGTCGGCGGAGACTGGGGAGGTCGGAGGGTTCGGCTGGGTTCATTGGGTTGGTTGTTGATGGGAGGGGTGCGTTGAGGATATCTTCGTGGGGTGGGGAGGAGCCGAAGATATCGTCAAGGGAGTTGTTGTCGACTGCGGGGTAGTCTTGGGACATTGTTGTTGCTGGGGAGGACGGGGAGGATTCGGCGTACGCGGAGTCAGTGTGGATAGGTTTCATTGGTACAGAATACCGAGGTAGTTCGGTTTTGCTTGTCGTGTTGTAAGGTCTGAGTTGAGGTCTGAGTTGAGAAAAAAAAAAAGGTGGGTCGGGGCGATCTATGGCGGACGGTTTGTCAGGGATCATTTGCTTGAACGACTTTATACGAGTCCGTAAGTATCCGCTGTGTGGAGGGGAGGTTCGATATGCATAATTGAGTACTATTGAACTAATAGCACTCTCCTCGAATGTACACACCAAGGTGAACGTGAATTTCCTTCGGCGTTACTCTCCGCAGGCATTGGGACTGTGATGGCCTTCTGACTCAATGTTATTTCACCAAATGTTTCTGACGCACAACTTTCATAATCAAATCAGTGTCTGTTAGTGCGTTCGATTTCATCAAATTTCGCTTCATAAAGAGCAACCGAGCAGGTAAAACATGTCTACCTACACCTGACAAATACTGTCCCTTGCTCTCAGTTCAATGGACGGAGGACACCCATCTATGTGCAGTCAACAACTGCCCGTTCTATTCCAACAATCTCTCTCGAAACTTCAGCTGGTTAGTTTTCAAAGAGCTATTTTCTCAACCCTGAATCGCGCCGGTTATGTCACTGCCGCTGGTGCAGTCTCATTAATCTATGCTGTTGACGAAAATGCTGTCATCAAGCCTCCCTTACTAGGGTCTTTGAAGTTCACTCTCACAATGGACTTGAGCACCATGAACGCAGTTCATATTGCAATGTGACTGTGTCTCGTTTTGGAACGTGGGACTTGTCTCCAATGCATTCTTCAGAGTGTCAGCGAGTCTCCTGTTCCTTTAGCTAGGACTTTACGGTGGATGCCTTCCACCCGCGCGAATAGTCTTGCATATCCCCAGCAAGGCTATTATCCATGTAGACCTTGGGTGCCATAACGTCACTGTGGACAATGCTTGCCAGTTGAGCTTGTTGAGATCGCTGGCTATGACGTCACAGGTGAAGCCCCATTAGCCTGCTAAAAGTGGTGTAGCTTTCAAGATGGTAATGAAATCGACAAGCAACTACAGATTTCTTCCAGGTGAATGCATTTCGAGCTCGAAAGGACCATGGAAACCGGAGTGCTGGCGATTGCTGTTGAGGATTTGCTCGCATGATAGAAGTTTCCGTCTGTGTAGATTCTGGCCTTTAGGAACGTCGTTTCTGGTCACTGGAGTAGCAAGCAAATGCCAATAGAGGAAGTCTATCAAGGTATCGCTCGTTGTTGTGAAAGGGCTGCAAGGTCCACGGGTATTGGCCATGAGTTGGTCTGACTGGGTCGGGGCGAGTCGGGGGAGATGTTTACGACGTCCGTTCACGGTTTGTTAATATTTAACAGCTGAATCGGAGAATTTGATACAAACAGTAGTATGGCAGTGAGCAATGGCCATGTTGAGCCATACCCTTTTTGGCCCCCACGCGCGTCAGATGATGTGCCCAAAGTGGTTAGGAACAGCGACTCATTGGACATCTCCAATTGAATTCGACGTGACGTCTTCTAGATAACTCCAATGCTCACCGCTATGCCTAGACGCTCTCTCCGCTTACTAGGCTACACCACCGCCGCTGTCGGCATAGCCAGCTACAGTATCCACCGTGGATTGAGCCATCTGGAAGAAATATACCCCACCACTGCCTCCTGCGGCTGGCAGTGTAGCTTTCTGCAACCCCAATAGCCCAAATACCCAGTGATGCGCATATACCGACATCTACGCAGCGCAGATTCCTCTACAAGCCCTCGAAGCACGGGTCCCCAACCCAAAGACACCAACAAAAACAGAGCTCGAGTATGCCTGGGCTAGATCTGTCCTCGGAAGCAAGGTCCTACGAGCAGAGGGCTCTCTTCTCAGACTACTCACGAGCTTTTGCTTCGAACCATGCGATACAGGTAACTCAACTGATGGATTCTCGCCGGACAAAATCACTGGTGCGCCGCGCGTTCTGCTGAACGGGTTACTGCATGTGCAGCGCCTGCCTGCTGCTGATGCAGATAGCAATGGATTACTAGTATCATCGAGATTGCCAGACGAGCCCCGCGAGTTTTTTTGAGAAGATTGTGCGGTGGGGGTATCCTTGGCGCTTGATGTCGTGCGTGCGACATGAGATGAGTGTCTCGGAGGCGTTCCAGGTGAATGGAAAAGGGATGCTGGTTGAGGTGCGGTTTGCAAGTGCAGATTACGAGGTTGTCGATTCAGAGGGTGAGCTGGAAAAACAGAAGATCATTCCAGATTGGACTTTGAGGCTGCACCGTGGGTATGCTAGGTTAGTTCTTCATTCCGCTGTTTGGGAGTTGCAGCGGGATTGGGACAGATAAGATCATCCATTCCCAATATGGGGATTTGATCTGAACTCACTCTGGGGGTATTGAGGTCTCTTCTTATACCCTTCACCTTCTATTGTCGGGGTTGGGCCACGCTGCGAAGCATTTCGCAGCTTGGTTTTATCTGCGTCGGAAACCCCACCGGGCCCCCAGCGGCTAGTCTAGGACTATCATTCCACTCTTACACTCCAATAACGATCTGAGATATACCAATTCTTGACAATTTCTCCCATGGAAAATTCCATTGGTGCCCTCCAAGTAAGCGGACGCAGAAAGCCACGAGTTTAGCTTAGGGAGATAGGATTTGTCCCCTGCAATGTGGCGAACCAGAAATACCTTTTACAACTTGGTAAAAAAATTGTCCAATGCAAACCCTATATACCACGAAGAATCAACAATCTCCAGATGTCAGATCAGACCTTAATTCATCCTCACCCTTGACAGCATCGCCCACATCTGGAACGCAAGCCTCCCCATTCGGTACAACGGTCCATGACTTGAATCCATTGTATAGATAGCACACATCCCATCCACTGACAATGTTCCCCAGCAGGCTGCCCTCCCCACCGGAACAGTCAGGCGAGCGGAACATGCAAAGATCATACCGGTTCATATCTGAGGGGCTTTTCCATGAGATACTCTTGACGTTTGTTGAATTGAACTCGGCAAGATTCAATTCCTGACAATCGCGCCGTTGTGAGCCGGAGTAGTGAAGAATAGTGAATTCGATGTTGTTCACGGAGCTGTTGCAAACCGGGGGTGCTTCACCGAGGAAACGGAAGTCCCACTATGAAACATTAGCGGGTCTGAATAGGGACTTCGTAGTGTTTCACGTACGGCTCTGTAGGCTAGGACTGTGAGATCTTCAGGGCTGGGCAGTGCGTTCACCGTCCCGGAAGAGACGTAAATGAGCGTCAGGCACGCGACGAGGAATTTCATCATGTTGTGTCTGAAGGAACAGGTGTCAAGGTAGGGACTAAGCTCAAGAGTACGGAATAAATCGTTGATTTGAAACATCCAGTAGCGCAGAATTGCTTCTTTTAACACACTTCTCCTATGCCAGTCAGACTATTCTAGTCCACGACTGCACCTGCAGAAGCGGAGTCAGCACATCCAATCATACCCATCCACAGCATGTCGATGCTCCAAAGGCTTGATGAAAACTGCGTCTAGCCGCAGCTAAAGCCGAGGCCGAAGACCGTGGCCAGAGGGGCCTCGGTTGGGGGTTTCTTGGACGTAAACTTGTCAAGGCCCTGATTTCTGAAGGGTCTCATTGGAAGTGCTGCGGTGCAGTTCTTCCAGACTTGATTCTCGGTGAATTAAAACACGTGCCAATCTAACTGTCTGTGGTTGTTTCACCGGCTCAGAAACACAGCGAATGAGAGCTTGCTTGGCCCAGGAACGACATTGACGGGATATTGTCTTACTTGCAGCTTGAAGGGCTAATTTTTAGGGCCCGGGAAATGAGTTCGCTTACTTGACATGGTTATATGGGTTGACAACTGTGTGGCCTGACCATGACTTTCATGGTGGTTTGAATAGTCGATTGAGGAGATAAAAGTCTCTGGCTGCTCAGGACAATCCTAGTCTTGCGACTACCGTACCGAGTCAGGGTGGATATTGGATATTGACCATGGCCCATTTTCCCACCCGATAATGAATGCACATTCTCTAGATCCACTCCGCTTCCCGATCCAGTCCCAGCAGTTATCTGGTGGATATTCTGTGCCGAGAGAAGGTGACGGCGGATAGTCAACGCCTAATCTCAAAGATCGCAGACGTTCTCGTATCATTCAATTGCTGTCTTATTAACCTAATTCCCGACGTTGTCCTCAAAAGCAGCCGCATCAGTCAAGTTCGCCTTTATGACCTCGCACTGAGTTATCGTTGTTGAAGGTGTTCAGCTCAAACGGCACGAACCAAATAGCAGTCTCTGATAGAGTATGTTCGAGTAGAGGCGACAAGGATAGGGCCTTTTGCAACACGAAGCAGATTATCTGACAGGATCACAATTGTTTGAGCCGCTTGAAGTTGGGCCTCGTGAAGGGCCTCGTGTGCGGTAAAATCACATCTCACGTTGCTTAGACTTGGTTGGACTCGGTCTTCCATCGGAGCTGCTGTAAATGAAGTCGTGGCTTGTTAAATTCATTGTGGATCTTCAGTTGACAAAAATGTGGCCTGGAAGCTGGTTATCCTACTTTTGATATTGTAGGCCTCTATTCGAAAGGTTTCTTTCAAGGATGATTGTGGCAACAAGGGTATCATGTTCGCTTGCCAGGGGATGAACAGACCTTGGACCAGCCAGTAGAGATGCTTGAAGTACATGTTCAAGGCGAGGAAAACTTGCAAAATGTCTGAATGACATGACGGGTCTATGATAATTTTTCCTCGTCCGCTATGTTGACAAGTAAGGTGGATTCTTATCGAGAGAAGGGAAGCTCTGCATACACTGAAGAGAAGACCTTGGGAAGGCAGAAGATGCAAGTAGACACGCAAACACGGCGGTTTCATAATGAAAACGTGAGATGAAAGAAGATGAATTTGAGTCGACCACGAAGATTGCCCCACACTGGGAGACCTAGAAATTCATTTGACTTGTTCTATGACTTGCACATGTGTGTGGGAGGGAGCTCGTTCAAAACAACACCCAAGGTGCCAAAAAGAAGGCTAGCTTGTCTAGATAGTTTATTTATTTCATCTTTAGAATATCACAGGAAACATATAGAGACATCGTAGGCCATCACGATTCACCAGAACCCACAGCAGAGGAACTTTATCATCCTCGCTGTGGACTAGAAGACAACCGCCAAGCCCGGAGAGGCAATTCCTCTAGCTTCTGCGCAGCAGGCTTGATAAACATAATGAACGTAAGAGTGCCTATAAGCACACAAAGTATGTTCGTCATATAGAACCCGTCACGGTCGATGTGGCAGGTACCGCCGCCATTGATGCAACGGTTCTTTTCTGGCTCAAGGGAGCAGGAGAAAGCTGCCGTAATGAGGGTATCCTTGAGGGAATCGGCAGGTGGAGCTATGACTGGGGGAATGCATGTTGCTTGAGTGAACATGTCGACCAGTTTCAAGACGAAGATGCGGGGGAATGTTCCACCCAGGTTGCAGACACTGGAGAGGACATGTTAGCTATTACCTACGTGGTTTTTTTTGGGGGGGTGGATGGGAACAGCGAGGGTAGATGGTGTGAGACTTACGTTGCAAGGAGAGTCATGTACGTTCCGCCAATGGCTGGATCGGAGATACGGGCGTGGAAGGCCGAGATGGCGACGAACATGACCGTGTTCATGAATGTAGAAAGGACATGCTCGCCAATTACCGTGAGCATGTACCACATTGGCATTTCAGGGGCTGTGGGGTAGATCATGACGGTGAATTGGGCAAGCACAGCAGCGGCCAGTCGTCCGACAAACGCCCAGCCCCAGAGGCGCATTGCGCCGTAGTTGGTTGACCACTGGCCGGCATAGTAGCCAAGCATGATTTCAAAGGGGAAGTCGATCAACACCACCAGGGCCATATTGTCTTGGCCAAAGCCCTTGTCCAGGAGTTTGAGACTAGTGACTCCGTCATTGGCCTGGAAGCCGATCTTGGCAACCAGGTGAATCAAAATGATGGTCTGAATGTTCTTTAGCTTCAGAACGCTCCACATGCTCTTATACACATCCATAATACTGTCACGTTCCTTGGTGCGTTCTTCCTTCTTGAGGAAGGCCAGACCACACGTCACGATCAGATAAGCCCAGCCCCAGAAGTTGAGATAAGTGCCGAGGGAAAGCAGACCGCCCTCTCCTGGGATAGTTCTGAACCATCTGTTGGCAAAGTCTTTCGAGTTAAAAGCCAAGAAGACAGTGTAGGACAGGAATTGGCCTGCTGTCAATCCAACTGTTTGGGCGGTCGAGGCGTAAGAGATGTTAGGCGGGGACATCAAAGTGATAGCCCATCCATCCACAGCAATATCCTGGGTGGCACAGAAAAGCACCAACAAAAACCACCAGTATGTGAATTTCCACACTCCCGCACCCCCATTAGCGCCGGCTTCTATCATCATATCCTCGATGTGACCACCCATATAGATCATAGCTAATCCGGCAATCACCTGAACGGGGGTGATCCAGCTTTTGCGCCGACCAAAGCGCGTGCTCCACACAGCATCGACGATAGGACTCCAAAACAATTTGAGTGAGTACGGGTATGAGGCGAGGGAGAAGATTCCAATTTGGCCATATGAGAGGTATGGCTTGAGCAGAAAGGGCACGGAGCCAGTGGCTAGGCCCATGGGAACTCCTTGAAGGAAGTAAAGCAAGACCAGTAGCAGGAAGTTGCGGCGATCACTGCGTGGTAGGTTGTGAAAAGTCGTGTTTGTCGGAATTGGAGTTCGGGGCATGATCGGCTCGTTGTCGAGGGAGAAGCTCGGTTGTGACATGAGTTGGGCTGTTCTGTCGGCAGAGGACTCCATGGAGGGCGTGTCCCTCCTGCGCATTTCGATGTTGTTATTCATTTTGCCATTCGCACGTCCCTTGGACCCAGTAGAGACTGACAGGTTCGCTTTGGAGCGGCGCTTCGAGAGGCTCGCGTTTTTCCGTGTCATTGAAAGTTGTGTTATGATAAGGAGAGATGGCTTCGTCAGCTACGTCCTGATTGGATCGAGGACTGAAGTTGGATATTATGATTTGGAATGGTGAAAGGGATGGGGCGAGGGTTCAGCTTTGAAGGAGTCTGCAGATCTAGATACCCCTGAGTCTTCTGTATGTTTAATTCCACGGAGAATGAAGGAATGAATGAGGGATACGAAAAGAAAGAAAGCTCAATAGATGTTGGTGGTGGGGGGGGGGACCTTCGAACCTTTGGATGACAAAAAAAAACATGAGGCAAGCTGGCCTCTTGGCTGTGCAGATCCGGGGTGCCGGGGGTCTATTTTAATCTTCATATAGAAACCCGCCAAACATGATGGGCATAGGCATTGGCGTGGATCTGACTCTAATCTCTTGATGTGAGTTTTCTCTCCTGTTACACATTCAGCACTTTAGACTATGAGGTCACCACCTCAACTTGGGACTGTAGGTATTAAGCACCTATTGGATCTAAATCAAACCGAATCGTCAATTTAAACACCTTGGAGGGTCTCGTCAAGGATCTGCTTAGATCCTATGCCTAATAAAGTAATAATCTAACGACCTCAGCCCACTGAGCCCAAGCTTCTGCATCGCGTCAGATGTGGACGTGATCACGTGTCACAACCAACCAACTCCAATCTGCAAGGCTTCCCCACGCATCTGACTGACCTTCTATGATGACATTGGAAGGCCAAAAAAATAAACTACTTCCAGGAATCTGAACTGCTTCACAACCCAAAATCCAACATGACAACAGCCACGTCTCGCGCCCCTGCATCACCAGACCCAGAAGAAGAGGAGCTAGACACGGAGATCACCTCAATCCGTGTTGAAAGTAAGCAACCTAACCCAGCCCCAAATTTAAATCCGAACCTCAATCTGACCCAATCCAAGTTCAAAACCTCCAAAAACACAAGCGCATCCTCTCATCCAGCCTCCTAACAACCGACGCAATCCAAAAATTCCTCCGCAAACAACCCAAACCTCTCACCACAACAAACCAAACCGACCCCCTAGCAGCATTATCTCCCCTTGTCCATGCCGCCGGCACACACGCCTCCTCAAATCACCACCGCATCGCCTTCGGTGCAACCGCCTTCCCATTCAAAGACCCATCCCCAACCTCCAGCGCTGGAACTCTCCTCGGCGTGCGCATCGACGTATGCGCCCGCAACGGCCGTTTCGCAAAACCATACTATATACTCCTCAAGCATGAGCAGAGTCGCGCGGGCCTTGGTCCTGGTTCTACGAAGATGTTGAAAGTGCATCGACACACCGTGCCGGGGTTTATATCGATAGCGAAGCTAGAGAGTGCTTACCTACCGCATCCCGGTATACCACGTAGGGTAGGGAATGGGGACGGGGATGCGGGAGAATGGTCTGGCGAGGAAGAGCACGCTGAGCCCGCGAAGCCGTGGAAGAAGAGTGGCAGCTCTATCCAGAAGCAAGATCTGCGGGGATTTGTACGCGAGCTTCGGAGGGAGTTGGTTGCGTGGCACATGCGCGTGGATGCGATTGACTTCCTGCGTGAGAAATTGGGTCTTGTTGCTGCGGAGGGGGTGTCGTTGCCGTTTGATATTTCGCCGGATCGGGATACGGGCATTGTGTCTTTAGCTGCCGTTGCGGCTGAGGCGCGGTATGTGCGGGTTGAGTGGGTTGATGGACGGGTTGGACGGCTGAAGTTGTCGAATGCGGGGATTGTGGAAAGGGCTGTTGTTATTGGTGATCAGGGGAGGGATAAGAAGGTTGAGGATGCGATGACTGGTGGTGGAGGGAGGATTGAGACGGTTTTGGATAGGTTGAGAGTAGATACGTTGTCTGGATCAGCTGGGCTGTGAGGTGTCGTGTCGTGTTGTGTTTTGTTTTTCAGCAAGAGATACCCTATTTTCAATTAAATCCCTTCGAATTATTGAATTCGAATCTCAATGCAGCTAAATTATCAATAGGCTTGGTATGTCTATTCAATGGTCTCCACCAAATGCTATGCAACAATGTGTCCGAAAAGTCTTTGCAAGGCGTGTATACCTATGGTGACCCTCGGTCCAAGAGCAGATTTCAAAATGATTACAAGAAGGGTAAGGGGCATAAGAGAGACAGAAGAAGGGGTGATTAAAAGGGTATATCAAGTAGATGTCGTGTCATCGTCTCCAATTAGAGGGGCACATAATCCTGGCTTGGGTGGATTGTATCTGGGGTTGAAGTTTGGAGTGGTGAATGTTCCACAACAGCAATGGGCGTATTGGGAGTGAAAGCGACAAGCGGCAAAGGACCATACGATTGGCCATGTCGCACCTCGAGATGCCGACGTAGAACAGCCTCTTCCAAATACCAGCGGTGCCGCAAAGTCGTCTTTTTCGTATCCAAAGCTTGCATGAGAGATGCTTCTTCTCGTTCATGCTCAGTTTGCAAGGTAGCAATATCCTGACTGTGTCGGTTACACATTTCATTCAGTTCCTTTTCCATACGCGCCGTAGCTTCCTGCAATTTAAGTTCTTGGCGGTCACGGAGGACTTTGATGCGGGCGTCATGAAGTTGGTCCATGCTTTTGTGGCTATGGTATTGTTGTTCTAGTTGCTTCATGTGTTCACGAGTGAACACACGCGCTGGTGGGATTGAGTCGGATTCCGAGAATGATTCCGAGGAGCGTTCGGATCGTTCGGCTCTGATCAGTGTTCCAGCGGGAGATGACGGTGGGCTGGCATTGCGGAGATACCCCTCCATATGCTTGATGCGAGTACTCGAATTCATTTTGGCACGATCGAATTCACGTTGCTGTTCGATTTCTACCGCCAGCTGTCGCTCTTCAATTTGGGCTATAGCTTGAATGTTCTGCACAAGCGCTTGTTAGATAAGGAAAAAAAACTAGTTAGAACTGAAGATTGTAAAGCGAACCTTCTCGCGTTTCTCATCCTCCTGGCGCTGGTTGCTAGACTGCTTCTCCGAGATAGCAGTCTGGTGCCGACGCCGGAGGGTACTTAGAGCGGCGTCTTGGAACTCGAGATGTCGTTTCATTTCCATCTGATGCCGCTCGTGCATCTCACTTAGCTCCGGATCATCCAAGCTTCTTTGTAAGTCCTCTTTGCTGAACCGAGGAATTTCCAACCTTGGAAGTGATGCCTCGTTGGTCGCATGGGGTGGACCCTGATGGGCAGCATCATTGGATTCCGGTTTAGGTTCGAAGAAAACATGTTCAACGACTTTGTCGCTTGTGGAGACAGTCATGCACCCTTCTGAGGGCAAGACAACGGCCGAGGACGTGCGCCTCTTGCGGAAATGAATCTTCCCAATGGCCGACTTCAAGCTATTCCGTCGTCGTTCCTTCTTGTCGGCAGATGCGACGCTGAGAATTGAATGCCTATGCGAATTGGCCTCAAATGGATCATTGTATCCGTGCCCGAGAAGGCCCGTCCTCCCCTCACTGGAGCAAAATGAGGTCGGGCGCGTAGACAGTGAGGCCAGTGATCGTGTACTGCCAGCCTTTAAATTGTTTGAGGCAAGCGTGACATCTGACAATGACGAAACGATTTGATCGAGCACGGATGGGACGGGGGAGGGTGCCTCGTGAGACGGAGTGACGGAGCCGCACACCGAATTCCGATCAGTCCACGACCCAGACGACAGGACTGGCGAGGAGGGATCGACCATTTCCGAGGGGATCGAGGCAGCTAGCAGCGCGGATGCTTCAATCTCTGGCAATTTCAAACCCAGCTGTTCAGCCTCTTCGGCTAAGTGTTGCGCCTGCGCTGCTTCAGATTCCGGTGAGGGGTGGTGGAGGACATCGGTGCGATATTGGGCCTCATCGAAAATGGGCCCGGCTTTTGTCTCCATCCTATGTACAATTATAGGAGGCAAGCGGCGCCTAACCGGCGGGCGCACATGGAAGTCAAGGGCAGATAGAGCTAAGAACAACAGTCCACATGAAAGCGTTCTATGACGGCATCCAAGCAATTTTCAATGAGGGGTTGTCCGCAATAGAAGTAAAGGCGGGAGAGGTAAGAGGGTCAAACCTAATGGGTTAAGGGGTCGGAAGGGTAGAAAACAAAGACCAGACGGTTACGGCCGTTTCTTGTTTCCTCATGTTTTGTTCGTTTTAGGCAATTTCTGGTAAAAAAAAATTAAATAAATCGAATTGACCCACGGATGGCCCTGACGCAATCCCTGGTTTCTCCTACGGGACAATGGGTCCGTTTTGAAACGAGCTAGTCTTAGACTTCATGTACGGAATACGGAGTAGATGTTGTATTAGATATGAACCACGATATAATCATTAATATACTTACGTAGTTGGACATGTAATATATCGGAGAGATATTAAAACCCCAAATGTCTCGGCATTTGTTCGGATAGCCTTGCGCTAACCTGCATTTCTTACTCCATGCACTTGATCCCTGGAACTCCCTTGATCAAGCCTCAAAGCCCATTTTGCCTATACTGGGAAGTTAGGGCTTAGGGCAAATCTTAGAACCTCGGCCCCAGGATCAGCCCATTGATCAGCCCATGTGCAACAGTTTGCTCAATAGTCAAAAGCTCTACTCGTTCAATATGTTGAATTCGAGTTGGCTTTTTTAGCTTGGGATTGCGGAGTCCCCACTCTCTTGCTCTAATGACACGCATGGGTACATCCCTGCAAGCGCTCGCTGACCACATACCACCCTTGCAATTCCTTGATCGTCTGGGCCAGTTTCTCGGCCTCCAGCGGTAAAATATCACCATCTAGGGTGATAGTAAGAACACATTGTGGAAATCAATCTTCCTGGGTGTAGAGCGGCGAAACGCGCGGATCCCGCTTGTCGAGCGACGAGAGTACAAAGCTGTGATCGAAGAGGCGCATCACAGGAAGAGGAATATAAAAGTCCCCATGGGCCGGCGCAATCCTCGAAGAAGGGTCAGGGCTTAGAACGGTCATAAGGTAGATTGCTAGCAGGGAGCAGAATGTGTCGCGAGGGAAAAGGCTTGACCCAGCTGCTAGCGCGAGGTTGCCTCTGCACTAGATCCAGGCATAGATACACATATTATTTCAAATTTGTCTGGGTGTGTGAATGTATTGAATGGCATATTCCACGCCGTTCAGCTAGGTGGGGAACGGGTGTTCTGGCTCCAAACGATAGGGGACGTCCAAGACCGTATGCTATGTTTCGTGATCGGCTCGTGAACGAAACTCATCGTCACCACCATGAAGCGGCAACACAAAGCCACTTCCGTATAAGTTGAAGAGGACAGGTGATCGGCCCTAGGTAGAGGTTTAATACAGATGAGCCTTGATCATTTGGCCAGCATCCTGGAAGTTGATATGGCAGATTTCACACAGACTGGCTGATACTTATCTGGCAATGTGCATGAATGTTCGAAATATCTAAATTTAAGCGGTTATTATCATAACACATGAGTACATCCATAGTTGACGTGGGAGGAGGTAGTAGGTTGAAGCTGAGCCTAGCCGAGCATGGACTTAGCGGTACCACTGATCCCCACCTATTATAAATACTGAAATCTTGCAGTTCCTAGCCCGGGTTATCAACTTGGAGTTGAATAATGTGTGTTGTCTCTTGTTTCTAATACGCAATCTGTTGACTGATTAGTAAAATACTATCAAGGCACTCATGCAGTATGCAGTGCAATCCTTCCCGGACATTTTGAATAGACTGGGAGTAATCTTGCCGAGTCTACCTCTGACATTTGCCACCAGTCTCCAAATTCTGTCCTTTGATAACGTCTTTCTAATGCAACCCATACCGATGTGGTTGTGCGTCGACATATTTGACAGTTCGTGGTAGTTTTAAATCTCCTATCAAATAGCAGCTCCCAATTCCCAGCGTTATCTTAGTTCCACGCAGATCATCATTCATTTCCACGCACCCTGTCTGCCAAGAAAATAGGCCGCCTGCCGTCGTCATGCTCATCGCCAACGCCCATCACCATCGCATCTACTCTTTCACTTTTGAAGTCCCAGGTCATCTGGGAAATTCTCACCCTAGTTTCTAATCCCACCAGTCTCCGGTTTCTTCCATCAAAAAAGACGACTGATTGATTAGACATAACTAAGCGTTGGGAAATCTTGCTTTCAAAATCACCATTTACGCGCTATTCACAAGATGTCTACCAAGATCAATGCTATGGACACTAATTTCACAGTATTTATACGCTTACCATTTCCCAGAGGGGACTTTGTCGATCCGCCGCCTGCAAGTCTTCCCAAGAGAAACCCCTTGAACATCCACTAATCATCCACTGACGTAAGTAGGTGGAATGGAATGCATCCAAAGACCAAGCGCTATGGGATATCCTTTCTCGACCATCCAAAGGCGACATTAACTGTACGTTGATTTCTCTTTTTTTTTCAAAACTTTACTACTCAATTCTTTTAAATCGCTGACATCACAATAGGGAAAGCTCTGTATTGCACACTTCCCCGAGCACATTTTTAAGCTGAGGGCCGCTAACAAGGTTAATGTAGGGCAGAGAACTTTAATGTCACCTTGCAGTTCCTTCTTCAGCAGGCGGCATGGCTCTATGATCGCCAGCTGTCGCAAGTTAGGGCTCAAATGCGCAAGGTCGGCACTACGCAGTCGGCCGCTCCTTCCCCGGCTCTAGGATCTGTCTCTAATAGTACGGCCTTGTCACAGAGAGAAACACCAGTACCAGGTATAACCCGTGCCTGCCTTATCTCGCCGTGGGCTGAGGCTGACTGTTAATAGGTTCTCGGGCGCCATCACGGCAAGTATCTCATCAAAAAGATGTCCTTCTACGAGGTATGGACCAATACCCTGCCCGTCCTTATACGGGATATTTGAGACCGCCAATAGATTGATCGCGTCTGACATTGAAAACAGCTCCTGACAATCGACGTACGAGCTTCACATCAACTACCGCTACTAACCAAGCTCGCGGATCCCGGAACCCTACACGCACAGCCACACCGACAACCGAGGAGAAAGAACCACGCTGGGATTCTTTTGGTCGTCGGCCTTCGGCTGTCAGACGGGAACAGTCACCCGTAGCATCTTTGCCTCGGTCCTCACCGCTCGAGGAAGAATATCTGTCCTCGAGTTCGTCTGAAGAATCAGGATCCGACGATGAGGACACAGCCAGGCATGTACCTCTATTCAAACGGTTTGGCAAATTTTCTACCCACCGCTCTGGTCTCCGGGATGACGAGGACGACGACGAAGAAGAAGACACTCCAGCATTCCTCCCCATGACCCGAGAACACCAGCACACCCTTCTGGAGCGGCCAGGTCAGGAACTCAGCGCGACCCTTCGTTTAGATGCCGAGCGAGCCGCGGCGCAACGGCGACATCTCGAGCAGCGGCCTGGTCCCAGAGTTCCAGTAGCTACGGAGTCATCCATCAGCTCTACGAGCTCCGGTGGGCGCAGTAGCCTGCCCGGTGGACCCATTCTGACCAGCCAGGGGGCATCGATCATGAGTCCCCAGCGCGCTGCCGAGCGCCAAAATTCTCGCAAGTCCACCGCTTCCGGTCGCGAAGCTAGCGATGGTACCCCTAGCATGGGAAGCAGTTTCAGTGACCTCGACGGTACGTGCCCCAACCCCGAGAAATCTGGATTCCAACTGATCAACGAGTCAGATGCAAGCGTTACCCAGTCAGCACTGGAGGAGGCCCTTCTAAGCAACATGCAGCATGGTGGAATGGCGAGTCGGATGAGCACCATCAGCCAAGCCCTGCGCAGCCGGTATTTGCAGTGAAAAAAAATCTTACAGAGCGACATACATTTTTTGGCAAATCGCACTTCACAATGTAATCTGATGTGGAAGACGTAGCCCATGTTAGGGGAGAAGCGGGAGGGGCTGCCTTGGTGTGTTCCGCATTCGGCATCCACGTGACTTAGGTGGCACCTCGGCATCTCGGTGGTACGCACCAGTGACATGGAAATTGTGGATATCTTCACCTCGTCCGGAGCTCTCTATACTCAGATATTCCAGGTATTAATCGTCACGGATCGGTCAAACGGGAGCGCTAGTGCCGGATCAGGACAATAATTCTCAACGCCCACCCTATATAATGGAGGGGTAGCTCAACCTAGCTACCTAGTTGTCTTTAAAAACGTTAAAAGTACAGCGCAAAGAAAATCAGAAGACTGTGAATAAAGCGAGACTTCTGGCTAATCTTAGGAAGCTGACCGGCATCAAAGAACGTCCGCCACAACCCCCCAACGCATTCAGGCTCAGAACGGCACGCCTCGGCATCACAACTACAGATCTCCCATTCAGATTGTTCAACTCTTTCTCTTCATCGCGCACACAACATTTCTATCATTATTCACAATGGCCACCCGATTACTCGGCGAAATGTCTCCAGCGGAGGCAGAATCCGTATATTTCAACGAATATCCCCCACCAAAGGCACTACCAAGACATGAAGCGCTCGCGCGCGCATTCATCAATCTCCACGTGGAGGAGAACCGGCGTGTAGTGCTCGTTACATCCGGAGGCACAACAGTACCACTTGAAGCACAAACCGTGAGGTTCATCGACAACTTCTCCGCCGGAACTCGAGGCGCCACATCAGCCGAGTACTTTCTCGAGCAGGGGTATGCAGTGATCTTTCTACACCGTCAATACAGTCTCCTACCATACTCGCGGCACTACAGCCATTCAACCAATTGCTTCCTAGACTTCATGGATGAGGCGCCTGCCTCAGCGGAATCCTCCAACTCCGGACATGGAGCTATCATGGTGCGCGACGAGTACCAAGACCAGATGCGGAGCGTGCTGCGGAAATACCGATACGCGAAGCAGAACAATCGCCTCCTCTTGTTGCCGTTCACGACAGTCTCGGAATACATGTTCGAGCTGCGGTCAATTGCGAAGCTGATGCGGCCGCTTGGGCCGAATGCGCTCTTCTTTCTTGCGGCTGCTGTCAGCGATTTCTTTATTCCGCGCAGTCGCATGTCAGAGCATAAGATCCAGTCTGGTGAATTGCCTCAACACATGCGTGGCAGCGCAATCTTGTCAGACGAACTCTATACAGGCGAGAACGAAGAAAATCCCTCGTCAAATAGCAGGAAGCTTGTCATCAATCTCGATCCCGTGCCCAAGTTCTTGCACCAGTTGGTGGATGGATGGGCCCCCGAGGGGAGTATGGTTGTTTCATTCAAACTGGAGACGGATCCCTCGCTACTTGTATACAAGGCGCGCACTGCTTTACAGCGCTACTCCCACCACCTGGTGATTGGCAACTTGCTTTCCACACGCAAGTGGGAGGTTGTTTTCATTACCCCCGATGAGCCACACGAACGCTGGCTCCGGGTTCCCAAGTCTCGGCGAAGCAAGAGTATTTCTGGTGTTGAGGACCAGGTTGGATTGGCAGAGGCTAAGAAGGGGAACTCGACAACGCTGGAGCAGGTGGAAGCTGAGCAAATTGATGAGACTAGTCGGGATGGAATTGAGATTGAGAGTCTTATCATTCCGGAGTTGGTTAAACTGCACACGAAGATGATTAAAAAGACAGAACCTGCACAGTGATCCTTATTTGGAGGCTGTCCAATTTTATATGATCAAATTATGGATAACTATTGTTGAAAGTTGTCCTCGATTTAACTCCCACAGTCCCAAGTTTTGGGGTGAAAAATCTGCAACTTTAGGGAACTATCCAATGTTGTACCTATGCAGATAAAATCCATCTCTCGTATAGCTAGACGCTGTAAACGCTTGACACACTTTCAACACTTGAATGATTCAAATATATTAACTATTCAACTATTCAACTATTCAATGCGTGACATCCGCGTTGATCTCGGTGGATCCTGACGTTGTGCGGGATTCCGGAGCTCTTCGCCCCTGAAGCAATGAAGAAACCTTGAAAGATCACTGAAATTTAGCAAGGGATCACCATATCTCAAACACCACATATTTGATTCAAGGGGTAGTCATTTAAAACCTCCAAATTCCACCTGGGCTACGCGTCCCGATGTGTCAGCGGCAAAGTTCGGCGTCACCCATCTTTAGCTCCGATCTTTCCCCAGTTCTTTGCTCTGTTGGTCACCAGGAGAGGGGGAAAAGGTCTGACTTCCAACTGTTCTGGAGAAAATGACCGATTAATCTCTTTTTTGTTCGGTGTACTCGTATTTTACAGGATGGTGCCCCGCCGGTTCAGTCGCCGCCTGATTGCAGTCGCTACCGCCATTGCGCTCCTCTTCCTCTACCAGTTGGGCGTCCTCTCCAGTCACAATCGCCAATGGCGCCCTCACTTCACAACAACGACAGAAGTGCCCCCTTCCCTCGACGAGAAAGGTGAACCAGTGCCATTCTGTCCACCCTTGCCAGGTATCGAAAATGTGCTCGTGGTAATGAAGACCGGAGTGACGGAATCGCGCGAGAAAGTTCCCGTCCACTTTAAAACAACCCTGCGATGCATCCCCCACTTTGTGATCTACTCCGACTTCGCAGAGGAAATCGAAGGCGTTCAAATCCATGATGTCCTCAAAAACATGGACAGCGCTGCAAAGCAAAACCCGGACTTCGACTTCTACCACCGCATCGTGAAATACGGCCGGAAGGGTCTAGAACGACAGGATTTCTCCGATGAAGCGAATTCCGCCATCGGAAAACCCGGCAACCCGGGCTGGAAGCTCGACAAATGGAAGTTCCTTCCAATGGCGCAGGAAGCGCTACGCTACAAGCCAGACGCGAAGTGGTTCATCTTTGTTGAAGCAGACACGTACATCTCATGGCCAACGGCCCTGACCTGGCTGGCCCAGTTCGACCACACTAAACCACACTATCTCGGCACGGAGACGCAGATCGCAGACGTTATCTTCGCCCACGGTGGCTCGGGCTTCATGCTCTCCAACCCCGCCCTACAACGCGCCTCCGACGAGTACACTACCCGCGAAGTCGAGCTGAACAACTTTACAGACGAGCACTGGGCCGGTGACTGCGTACTGGGCAGGGTCCTGAGCCACATAGGTGTCAATCTTCACTTCACATGGCCTATTCTTCAAAACTCCAACATCGGCGAGTTGGACGAGTTCACCACGGACTTCTACCGGAAACCATGGTGTTTCATCGCCGTAGGCCTCCACCACCTGTCACCAAGTGAAATCGAGAATCTATGGAAATTTGAACAAAAGCGCTGGCGTGATGTGAGTTGACCAATCCCCTCTACTCGATTCATTCCCTCAATTCCATAACCTTTCCTAACCTCAACCCCTCAAATAGAAAAACAAGCGAATCCTCATACACGGCGACATCTTCCGCGAATACATCTTCCCAGAATTAAACAGTCAACCCACACGCGCGAACTGGAACAACATGGCAACCGAAGAGCAGCCCTTCGCACAGACAGTCGAAGACTGTCGCTTACTCTGCGAGACGCACAAATCTTGCGTCCAATACGCTTTCCGTGAAGATAAATGCTTCACGAGTCCTAACCCGCGTCTCGGACATGCGGTTTCAAGTGGCGACGTGACATCCGGCTGGATTACTAGTCGGATTCGGGGAATGGTGGAGAAGAGTGGGTTGTGCCCGAAGCCTGATTTTGGGGATTGATGTGGTTTGATTTTAATTTTGCTTTTTGCTATCTGTAACACGTCGTGGGTTTTTTTTTGTTTGCATCGAGGGCGAGAAATGGGAACTCTTTGGCATTTGCCTAGGTTTGGAGCCCAGTCTGGTATCTGGGCAAACCGGGTGATTTGGGCTCGGTCTGGAGGACTTGTGCTTTTTTCGTTTTATCCTTTGTTCCTCTACTACCACTGTGATTGTTCGGTGGCCAATGATGAGCTTGAATAAACAAGCTGTCGTCGAGGCGTTGGTGCTTGGTTGATTTCTATACAGTTGGTTGATCGCTCACCCTTATTGGCATACTTGTACGGATTCTCATTATGCTCACATGACACCGCAAGCGTCGCTCTGTTATCCCTACAATCCTCTGAAGGTAACTGTACAAGAGCAGGAAATGTACGAAGGCTAACATTTCTTGGACGGCATCTGAACACCGATTAGGATAGAGATTATGTATACAACTAAGAATAAATGCACAGGACAGGTGCTGTTGTGAGTTCATAAAGATTTCACGGCATTGTCCGATCACAGCGGTGGAGCGGACAAATCCTCCAGACACTGATCGATTCTCATGATATGGTATCCGGCACCTTTAATATGACGAATGAACTCCGGTAGGTACCCAATGGTAGTTGGATTTAGGTAGTGCATGACAGCAAGATTTCCGCCCTTTCCAACCCCGCGGAAGAAGGCATCAAGCTGCTTCTCTGGGGTGGACGTGTTGGCCCACAACCAGTCCTCGACATCGACACTCCAGTTCACAATGTATGGATTTGGTATGTGTCGGGCTAGCTCCTGGCGCAGCCGGGCAGCTACTGTACCGAATGGCGGGCGGAAGTATGAAGCTGCAGAGATTCGCTGTGTCAGGATCATTCTCAAAGATACGTCAGGGGATAACGTACACTGTATGCCCAGCTTGTCTCTAAAGATTTCCATGGACTGGATGATCTCGTCGTCAATCTCACGGAGGGTTGGCAACGATTCCATCCTAGATCACCATTTTAGCCCAATCCCACAATACGCCATGGTCAGAACATACATACTTTGGATGAGTGTTCGAATGGAGTGCCACTTGGTGACCTTTTTTCAACATCTCCTTATAGAAGTTCGTGAAATTGCTCGACCGATCCCTTAGTCCAGCCCCAACGACGAAGAAAGTAACTCGAACATCCTCCTCATCAAGGATGCGCATGACCCGCTGAGCAAACTGCGGCTGTCCATCATCAATACCAAATGCAAAGGAATTCGGACGAGAACAACGCAGAACCAATCTCCCATTCGGCAGCTTTCCAGGTAAGCGATAGTGACCATTTTCCGGCGACGGCATTGGAATATCAGGCACGATCTCCACGTGATGCAAAGCAATGGGCTCCTTGGTATAGAAACCATGAAATGAAACCGATACAACGCGATTGAAATCGATATCGAAATGAGTCAGAGGGATATAGAGCTCACGACGTCCCGGTGGAATTTTCGTATTACCTTGGGGGTGCTTTCGTCGACCACCCTTGGACCTTCCGTGCCTCTGTTTGTTCCTCCCAGCATCGGCTTCGACATCATCGTCGTCATCCCAGTCATCATATTCATCATTATCCCAATCGTCATTTTCCCCAAAAGCCTCTGAGGCAGGGTGAACAACATACCGCTCCGCTTGGACGGAGTCTGCAATGCTGGGGAAAGGACTGCGTTGAGGGTTGCACTCATCGTTGTGTTGGTTAAACGAGATGCTAAATTGATCCGTGCCCTCGAAGATAACATGCAAATACTCGTTGTACCAGGGTATCAGGCTGTAGCAGGTTTTGGAATCGAACTGTGTGTGGAAGTTCTGGTCCGGGTCTGTTGGGAATAGACGAATGAAGCCCGGCCCATATTCGACGGGTAGATTCTCACCAGAGCCGTGCCAAAATCCCAGGTCGTTGCGAGTTGGATACTTGAAGGTGTCGATGACAAGTGGCGGACTTGACTTTTTTGCCTGAGAGGCGTTATAAGAGGCGTTGTGGGTGAGCCCTCGGAGTTCATTCCAGTGGCCATGGTCAACAATTCCGGAAAATAAAGCCGAGGTTGGGAGGGATACCGAAAGAGTGGCAGATCCTATGAATAACCAATGCATGATGAAAAGTGGCCTTGGAAAAAGATCGAATGTGCTTCGGTTGAAGAGGTCAAGGTGGAAGTTGTAAGAAGATTCACTGATGTGCTCGGAGCAGTTCAATCAGTCAAGAACGATCGACGATGCATCTACACAGGAAGGATCTATAAGTCCTGAATCCGTATGTACAACTCTATATCTCTACTCTTTGCGGTCTACAATCTACAAGGGAAACGAAAAACTAAACTAGAGAATTGCATAAAAACCCATGAATTCCATAATGCGGCACATCTCCACGACCTTTGCATCCATATCACTGCCTTTGCGCGCACGATAAAACCGATCCAATCCTGATACAAGATGGCAGGAGAAAAGGTCCTAGGTTCCACAGATCTAGGTCGCATATGGTCGAGAGATCAAGCCCTCAAAACTTCATCCAGCGTAAACTCTCGAACTTGGTAAAAGTTATTCTCTCCACCGTTAGAATTCTTTCATTTCCCTATTTTTTTGGAAGATTTCTGGTTAATTTTTGTTCCATCGTTGTTCGTGTGTTTTTTTTTGCTTTTCCGCGTGCAGTTCAACCAGAGGGAATGATCGAGCTCTACATCCAGAACGAATCGGGATCCTGGGGAGAAGGGGGCCGGGGGGCCCAGTGAGAACTCGCCAGACCAGCCTTGGTCTCCTGGCGCTTATCTTCCTCTTCCCTCCACTTCTGGCGTTCAGCCAAGGGCGAGGCAGGCTTCCACCATGAAGAAGCCTCCTCCTCCTCGGATGTAGCGGTGGGTCTGGGAACAATGGGCTTGGGAACAGCGGGCTCGTTTTTTTCGGCAGGCTCCGTGTTCGCATCCTCGGCGTCACTAGGTTCAGCAGCAGCAGATCCTGCTTCGGATTCAACCTCAGCGTCAGAGCCAGCAGCAAAGCCAGCGTCAGAACCAGCGTTAGATGGGTTATCAAAGAACTCCTTATCAGAGTCATCGTCAAATTCCAGCACATCGCCCTCAGGGCGAAAATCTTTGAGGAACTCCGGGACCAGTTGCTTGCATTCGATCAAGATCTTTACAAGATCCTCGGCAATATCCTCATCACGTTCATTGTAGAAAGAGGTGGCGATTCCTTCGTTTCCAATGCGAGCAGTACGTCCTGTAGATGGTAGAAAGACGTGTTAGCAGCAAGATCATCAGGAGCATCGGGAAGAAAGCGATATCAAGCTAGAGCAGAACATACCAATACGGTGAACGTATTCAGTGATGCCCCCGTGCATCGCCCTGGGGAGATCGTAATTCACGACGTGGAGCACATTGATAACATCAAGTCCACGAGCGGAGACGCCGGTAGCAACCATAACTGGACACTTCGCGGACCGGAAGGCACGCCTTTTTTGATGGGTCAGCAAAGAGGCGTAAAGAACCGGAGGGACAAATTACTCACATAGCGTCCTCTCGCTCACGTTGAGTTCTTCCACTGTGAATAGAAGTGGTGGGCATTCCAGAGTTGTAAAGGTAATCATCGACGAAGTCAACCTGCTCCTTGCTGTTGACGAAAATCAAGGTACGAACAGGCGGCATGCTGATCAGAAGATCATAGATTGCGCGCATCTTCTTGTCTTTGTCAACCCAAATAATCTTCAGGTTTCACTTAGCGTTAGCATTGATCTAATGCCTCACAAGTTCCTCGGTTCACATACATCCTGCACAACGTTATGGTGCGAGCTGCCGGCTCGACCAACGCGGAGGCGCACATGGTCCTGGCTGAGATACTGCTTTGCAAGTTTCCGGAAATCCTTGTTGAAGGTGGCGGAGAACATCAAGTAGCGATGATCATCATCCTCGTTCACATCTTGCTCAAGTCAGCAACACCGAAACACTAAAACGTGTAAAGATGATATAAAGAGCGCGCGCCATGGCAAACGCTTTCAATAATTTACCTCCTCCAGACATGATTTTTTTGAACTCTTCCTCCCAGTCAGCTTCCAGCATTTCATCCGCCTCGTCAATCACGGTATATCTGAGAAACCATTAGCATCCAATACCTGCATGAATACGTTCCAAGTGAATCGCAATCATACCGAACGCGGCGGAGCGAAAGAACATGAGTCTGTGCCATAAAATCAAGAAGACGGCCTGGAGTGGCAATCAGAATGTCGCATCCCTTCTGAAGCTCTTCACGTTGAAGGCTAGAAGGAGCACCGCCATAAGCGACACATGGACGCAGCATGGAACGATAGCATAACCGACGCGCATCATCGAAGATTTGAGTTGCCAATTCCCGAGTGGGGCAGACAATTAGAACCAAAGGCTCTGCTCGCACAGCATCCTCTCTTGGGTTGAATCTTTCTGTGGTGTTGGGCCGAGGAGCAGCCAGCTTCCTCGCTTTGCCCATCAACTTGGAAAGAATTGGAATGAGGAAAGCTCCCGTCTTTCCAGAGCCTATGTTTTGTTAGGACAGCTCGTGCCAAACACCATGCTCCACGGCGCATACCAGTTTGGGCCACGGCAATAACATCCAAATTGGCCAGAACAGCTGGAATTGCATATGACTGAACCGCAGTGGGTTGTTCGTACCCGCAGAGACGAACGTTCTCCAGCATGACTGGATGCAAACCAAAGTTTGCCCACTGTGAATCGTCAGACTGAAAAGTTGTTGCTGGCCTCTCGTGCAAACTCACCTCCGTAACCGCCTTGATTTCATTAGGACTCTCGATGTTGACCTTGTAGCTGTTCAGTCTGGGGAAGAAGACCTGTTAGGCATCAAGCTGGTGTCTGATCATCCTCACGTCACTTACTCGTCGAGCTTAGCCCCAGCACGCGCAATCAGTTCACCATGGAAAAGCTGGTCCTCCAATTCAGGGACAGCAGGACCAACATCTCCATATTCGTCCTTCCATTCGTAACGGACGGCAATTCCAGCCCAATCACGATGGTCCTTGCTATTAGCAAGCTCAGCATATTCGAAGGGCACTGGGTCAGTCCAACCCTTTTCGCGAGCAATCTTTTGAGCGGCCTGGGGGTTGGGGCCGACACCAGAAAGAACGCCTCTGACAGGAGGCTCTGCAATGTTGAGATCCTTTCCAGAAGCAACTTCACCGGCTGAGGCCGAGTCAACGGCTGAGGCAGCGCCTGCAGCCGATGCAGCATCAGGCTCATCGTAAGATTCCATGGTCTACTAACCTATTGCAAACCGCAAGTTTCTCGAGGGATTCTATCAAGAGAGACAAAGAGGTAGAGGACCGGGTGGTGTGTGTGGAGAGAGAGAGAGAGAGAGAAAAGGACGAAACGAGAACCTCCAAAACCGAATCAATCTACAAGACAAACACAAAACGCGCGGCGAATGAAGGTAAATCTGTTCGTGCGCACGACTGCCTTGTTTGTCGACACAGAGCCTCAGATACTTTGACTTGACACAGAGTTACTATGGGAACTTCCATTTCAATGGATGTATACCAGAGGTATCTCTCTCAGTTGGGAAGGAGTGATCCATTCATCGACACTATCAACTAGGAATACCTGCATCTCCATACAATCTACTACTTGTGTGGATGTACTTTGGACTTGATAGTGATCTCACCCCGATTGTGACAACCAGTCGTGAATGCATATATGTGCATTTAATATGTGCAACGACATGGATGACCCTATATTTTTCAAAAGTAACCTCGTTGGGGTTATTTTCCTCTGCTTCAGCTATCGTATTCACTATCTATACAGCTGATCTTTTTACAAACATATCCATGCCTACACAGGTTGGTGAATATTGAGATACTTTGTTCTCGGGCACCAAGCACAAAAACAGACCGCTAGTTCTTAACTATGTATACAACTGGGATATCACGATCCCCGCGGACAACATGTCAAAAAGCGATCTACGAAGCCTCGGAACGTTGGCTCCTCGGCTTCCAGAAAAAGAAGTGGATCCGACCCTGTGGCCCGTTCCGGGTAGAAGGAGATATACGCAGTAAGCCTGGGAACGGGCACCTTCTCCATCTTCACCTCTATCTCCTTTACAACATTCATCATGGCCTCCAAAATGGAGGTAGATACCAGTACTCCGCGCAAGCGCCCGAACCGTTTGGAAGCTGCAATCACCAATCCCGGCGCCGTCAAAATCAACGTCACGGGCGCATTCATCGTCGACGACGAACCACGATCCAAGAGTCCCGTCGATGCAGAGGGTGTACACTACGAAAACAAGGACATTCGGCTTCCACATCATACAGGCGTTGTGAGCCATGTGGCTGTCGATGTGAGTTGCTCACGAGAATTTTTTTTTTAATTTCTCTGCCCCGCACTGCCGTTCCCCCGCAATCTAGGGGCCGCGCAGACAATTTGTTCCCAACACCAGAGGATAGCATGGCTGACAAGGAATTGGAACTTAATAGATTGGCGGAACACTTGCGAAGCTTGTTTATTTCACTCGAGAGCCGGACACTGTGGATAATGGCGGCCGTCTCAATTTCCTGAACTTTGAAACACACCGGATCGATCTGTGCATCAACTTCATTCGACAGCTCAAAGAAGAACACGAGAAGTGCAATGGTTCGACCCGGGAGGGATTGTGTGTGGTAGCTACTGGTGGCGGCGCATACAAATACTACGACCGGCTGAAAGAAGAATTAAGTGTTAATATTCTACGGGAAGAGGAGATGGAATGTCTGATCATTGGTAAGTCATCAACCATGCGCAAGCATGGAGGATTCTGTCTAACATGTAAGAAAAAAAGGATTGGATTTTTTCATTACCGAAATCCCCAACGAAGTCTTCACTTACAGCGATGCCGATGCCGAGCCGATGCAATATGCCGAAGCCCGGCCCGATGTCTACCCTTATCTCCTCGTCAACATAGGATCAGGTGTGTCGATGATAAAAGTCTCCGGTCCGAGGCAATTCGAGCGTGTCGGTGGAACACATCTCGGTGGTGGAACGTTCTGGGGCATTATGTCTTTATTGACGGGCTCCCGGACCTTCGACGACATGCTAGCAATGGCCGACCGTGGAGACAACAGTGCAGTAGATATGCTTGTAGGGGATATCTACGGCATGGACTACACCAAAATTGGATTGAAGAGCACAGCTATTGCCAGTACTTTCGGCAAGGTGCTCCGGTTGAAAAATGATGCCGAGCAAGGGGCTGAGGACGGCGAGGGCTTGATTCGCGGTGATCCTAGTGAAACCAGTGATTCCGGCGAGTCCATTCATGGACGTAAGCCAAATCCGGAAGACATGAGCAGGAGTCTGCTCTACGCTATCAGGTATGTTACATTACACATTACATTTTCATTCTCCGACAGAGTCCGAACTAACCTCGATTAGTAATAACATTGGTCAGATCGCATATCTGCAGTCAGAAAAGCACTCGGTCAAACACATTTATTTCGGTGGCTCATTCATTCGGGGCCACCGGCAAACGATGAACACTCTCTCCTACGCCATCCGCTTTTGGTCCAAGGGCGAGAAGCAAGCGTATTTCCTCCGCCACGAGGGCTACCTAGGCGCTGTCGGTGCTTTCATCCGACGCCAGCCGCAAAACTGGGGTCGCAGAAACAGTGTTGACGACGTGGTCGCACCGCAGGCGGTCCGAAACCTCGTCCAAAATGGCTATGCCCTTCAACCACATGGCAGGCCGTTCAGCGAGCTATAACATTTGACGAGCTAATCAATTCTGACTCTACCCTCCCTCCGCTTTTGAGTCTTGATACCCCTTACAGGCAATCCATGAACTACACATCTTGTGCCGACCCTTTTTTTTTTGTGCACCCACAGTGACTGACTTAATTGACCACCTGTGAAAAGCCTGTGACGATTCCGTCAGGCATTCGTTCATGTCGTACATTTAGCTATCTGAATTTTTCGAGCTTCCTGTTTGATTTTTGAACACGTTCGGTTATCTTAGAAAATTCATCTCATCTTTCCTTGCTGTTGGTTCCGGTTTACTTTTTTTTTGGCTGTGATTTTGGATGTTCTTTCGAGACATTACTACACAAAGACAGTAGAATTGCTGGACTTTTCTTTGATGATCTCATCTGATACATAGTAGTCTTTTCAACAACATCTTGAGATGGAGGCTTTAGGAAGATCAAAGTTATAGCAGAGCTGAGCTAAATTACTTGAGCAAAGAAACAAGTCGGCGATTAATTTTAATAGTATAGTCTTCCCGAGGTCGAAGCACTCGAAAACTTCCGGTGCTCATTCGAGTTGCTCTACTGCAATCCTCCTTATATCCTTTATCGTGGGCCGAGTATCGAGGCTTGCTCATTGAACCCTCGAGCCGCTTTTTGTCCATCTCGAGGACAAATATGAGTTAGAAGCCTTACTATCATCCGAAGCAGCATCTGAGTTATGGGAAATCGCCCAGTTCCTTCGGATTATCGGACAATTCATTATGCATAGCGAAAAACATCGAAATTATGTCCCAGATTGGAAAATATCAGGTCCGCTCCTGAGATGGGACCCATCCAAAAGTGAAAACTTCCAGAAAATGAAAATAATCATCACTTGACGGAGATAGCTGGCTGACACAGCTTCTCATGTTCCTCATCTAAGGGAAACCCCCGAGCACGGAGACAGCAACTGCACGGCATCCGTTTCGCGGTCCAGTAACTGCGCTCGAGATTTCGCAGCTTCGTATGCCACTTATCTAATTGTTACCCTCGTTTGTTTATATCATCAAGTAGCTCTTTTTTCTTTTTCGCATTGGCTTGTCGGAAATTCTTCGTGTAGGACAGTCTCGCCTCGGTGAATGTCAATGTCAATCATGCTCTGGACATAAGGATAACGATTGATTTGCGTGTTCTGTTTCTAGAATTTGCTCTATTCAGGTTTAAATTTGTAGTACAGACTGAATATTTGAAAATTGTACATGGATGCTAACTCTATAAGACTAGTACCGTTCATCATAATCATGGGCTATGTGGATTGACCGCTACTTGAACGTTGGAACATCCAAGAAAGCATATAGAATCAGCATTCCTATTATACAGCAATGTGAAATATCTTTTTTGGATAAATAGATTTTATATCTCACTTCATTTGAAGGTGGACCATGTAGTTTCAATGGTCTCATTCCAGTTCTCTCAGTTTGCATCTGCCATTGAACTGCCCATGTCAGCAATCCTTTCATACAATGTCGTCTCGTCAACGCGTCTTACATTATAACTTTGTGCATGTCATCTTCCAAGTCCTCAACTCATGATAATGACTCCGGGAAACTTCATTCCAGTTCTTTTTACACCTGATTTGTTACGTCTCTTCTTTGAAAAGCTCTGGAACTGTTACCTAAGCTCGGAATATTATTTGCATTGAACGAAACTTCAACTGCAAGTAGATTGCTTGGAATTGCTGCTTGTTGCGTTTCGTGCATTCCTACTGCTACTTCTTGTCACTTTCTCCCCCCTCACTCGTCTTTCTACCCTTCATTCATCTGTTTTATTCTTGCCCTACGTCTTGTTTATCTTTTTTAATCCTTATTCTCATCAACATGACGGAAGATGTGGGTTATGAAGTTGCGAATCAGCTGGAAAGTCTGACGGCGCAGTCCCCGGCTGTTCAAGATACATCCAATGCATCAGCTTCTCAGAATTCTCTGTTTGATGAACCGGAAGAAGCTGACAAAAGAATCCCGACTTCAAATGAATCAGATCTAACCGACATCGACGATTTGGCTCTGCAAGATGTAACAGATAGTTTCTTTGTGACCCAGTCAGGTTTGGCCGAAATTCCTTTCGTCAATCCCATTGCACCGCGCGTCAGTTACCAAGTCTCTGCGTCGGGCGAAGTGATGATTATTGAAGACACCAAAACTCCCAAACCAAACGCTCCTGCCCCAGTACCGCGGCCGAGTCCTCCTTCTGCATTCTTATCATTTGATCGGCTCGCTCATGGATTACCGCCAAAGGCAGCCTCGTCGCCTACTACAACTTTAACTCCTCCGTCACTCGCAGTAGAGTGCATCGTGGGCCCAAAGCAGCCGATCCCGGCGCAGATCCTCGAGCTTCTTGAGGAGTGGCATGAGGAATCTCCTTACATCGAGCATCCTTCGGCTTTGACTGGCCGTGCTCCATCAACATGGAAAAACTTCCAAACATTCAGTGATGATGGCGATGAATGCGAGCTATCACTCTTCCAAATCTCAGTAAAAGGTCAGGCCCGACGCACCATAACATATCGCATTGTAATCCTTCATGCACAAAATGGACCGGAAGAGCTTGTTGTGTATGGACAACCCCGGCCGAATTTCAGGGGCCTCTTGACGAAGGGTACCAAGGGATTGTATCTTTTAGATTGGATTGAACTCGAGAGAAAAGGGGAAGTTCAGGCTTGCGGGCTAAAATTGTGGAGGACAGACGAGAAGAAGATTTCATTCAGTGCATCCATGTTTGATGACGCACGCAAGTGCACTCGGCTCCCCGGTCCCAACGACATTTTCAACACTCGTCTGCCAAATTCTACTCCAAAAAAGCATACCGACGCAAATGAGGATTACGAGGATGCTGGGTCCATCTCATCTGAGGCCCCCTTTTCTCCCTCAAGATCTAGACGTCAAGCTTCGACAAACAGTTTTGCCACAGCTGAGAATAGAAATAAGGAGAGGGCTGCAACTGCATCACGCCCGTCGTGGTACAAGACCATTTCACCCGTCCCCACTTTTGATAGTCGCGATGAACTCCGTTCTCTTGAGAGTCCTTGGAAGCCGCAAAAGAGACGCCGTAGCACCTGGAGCTCCAACGAGGAAGCATCTGCACCTATGTGCTACAAGCTACTGTCAGACGCATCAGACCAGGTCCGCGTTTTCAAGACAGATGACGCGAAGGTTCTGTTTGAAAAGGCCCGCGAGTTTTACAAGGGCATGGACAAGCGTTCAGGACTACTTTTCACAGTCTCTGGTGTTGAAGGAGTCTGATACATTGGAGAAGGGTGTGTGGACGAATTTGATATCCTCCAGGAGGATGTTCGGAAGTCTTCTTGTTCTGGCGACGAAGATCTTGTTGTGGAGGTGAAGCCTGCAATGGGCTTCTAGATTATGAGGAGATGGCCAACTGGAACTACTTGCTGAGATAGGATGTGCTAAAAGGTCATTGAAGGATGATTTTGATCAAAAATTGCTCCGAATCATTCTTGATGTGGTTCCCCTGGTGGTTGTTGTGGCAATTTAGCCTGTGTATTCTGTGACAAGAGCGTTTCATTCAAACCTGTGAAAGTTCAACATTCACGCTAGTCTTTGTATGTGTACAAAATTCGCAGAAAAAGCAAAAGAAAGGACTTTGTCTGATTATCACCATCTTCGGAATATATGGAAATCCCCGTAAAAATGAGGCGATCCTCAGAGCTAATCATTTCTTGCATCATTCTATCATTTTTCTGATAGTTCGATAGTGCTCTAACTTCTCTATTCCTTTGAGCTGACTGATTAGGGAGATAAATTGTGTGTTTTGAGTTGCTGTTACTGATTTAAGACCTAGAGTTGGAGGACTGGGAGAGGTTACATCTCTTGGGACAGCCCATATACAAGAGGCTTACGTTTTGATAGGTGAGGTATTTAAGACCTAGCTAGACTAGAGATTATAAACTCAAACAGATGATGAATCGAAGAATCCAAAGAAGCGTTTCGAAGCTTTATTTACCACTTGAGAATTGAATTCCAGTGACTCGTCCAACCCGAAGAGCAAGGGCTGATTAGGTCACGTGCGTATGGACAACTGCTGAATCAGCCTCCAAAGACCGCGGGTCGCGCCCTCGTTGACACCAAGTCGTCACATCTACATTACAGATTGGCCTAATTCTCTTCTCACACCATGCCCCGACGCTAGTTCTAGTTGTGCTCGATGACATCCCCTCCATCGCTAGACCCATTCTCTCCCCCGATCCCCGTCAGCACCCATCCCAACCGCGCCTCAGGGTCCAAGTCTCCTGAGCTCGAACGGTCCCTTCCCGACCCCAATCGCTTAGCGCCCGAGGATGCGTACTTCGCACCCTCGCTCTTGCGCGCCCGGTTGGCGCCCAGGAACTACGAGGAAAATCTGCGATCATTGAATGGCGAAAGCAGTGCCCATATTGGGTCTGCTGCAGCGTTGCGGAAGAAGTTGGGCGGTGCTGGACGGCGTCGCAAGCGGAAAGGTGCTTGGAAGAAGTTGCTTTGGGTTAAGCAGTCGTGTATGTCTACGTACGGTCACGGGTTCTATACAGGGCTTGGGGTTGGTGTTGCATTGTTACTGACTGTCGTTCTAGATCCGGATAACTATACCGACACGGAAACGTTTCTCGATCACCTTCAGCGTAATCCTCGGGTGCGACCGTACGATTTTTGGCCTCTGGTGGCTGACTCGACTGTGATCGTCCAGCATGTGTGCTCGGTGGTTATCTTCATTTGCTGTTTCGTTGGCATTGTCCAAGACCGGGTGAGCCCTGTTTTAATTGTCTGCTGGGGAAGCGTCGGGACGGCTGTGGGCTGGATTCTGTGGGATAGTTGGGTCTGGAAGGAGCATGAGGAATCGGTTCAAAGTACAGATGGAATCACTGGAGGTGATGATGTGTCTAGTTCGACTTCGTTTGCTAGCGCTGCCAATACCCCCACCGATGACACACACTGCAACGACGCACAGACGAATGCTATTCATGGCCTTGGGCTGTCCATGTCTGGAAATGAGTCAAAAGAACAATTCGCTTACCGCACTGCGGATTTCAGCGAAAGTCTCGACACAGTCGATCAGTTCACAGCGCAAAGTGGTGTACCGCCCGCTCCAGGCAGCTCCATAATAGGTGGCATTGCGGATCCGTTCATATCGAAAGATACCCACCGCATTTCCATGCTATCACCGCGCAACCGTCAGCGCTTGGCTACTGTCAAGTCAGCCTTCCTTATTTACTCCTGCCTCCTAGGCCTCAGCCCTATCTTGAAATCTCTAACCAAATCCACCGCCAGTGACTCTATCTGGGCGATGAGCTGCTGGCTTTTAATCATGAATATATTCTCTTTCGACTATGGGAGTGGGGAAGGCGCAGGCGCTACCACAATATTCCCTGCTTCTTTGTCCACGAACGCAGCTGTGATGGCCTCAACCGTGCTTGCGTCCCGGCTGCCTTCTACAACCCACGTGTTCAGTCTGATGCTCTTCTCGATGGAAGTATTTGGGTTGTTTCCCATCTTCCGGCGTCAACTGCGACAGAAGTCCTGGACTGGTCATGTGCTTCTGACACTGACCCTTGTGGCCGTTGCTGGTGGCGCTGTTGGTGTCACGCTGAGCGGCGGATGGGCAGCAACCATCATTGGATCTGTCCTAGGAAGCATTATAACCGCGTTTGCGATGGGCGGATGCAGCTGGTGGCTTATCAGCTTGCAAAAGTACAAAAACGTTGTGATCGGCCCCTGGGACCCTGCCCGGCCGATCATCCGGCGCCACTGGAACTAAGCCCCTATCTTTGACTATTGAAATTTTCTTTTTAGCGCCATTGTAATATAGGATGTGGGCGTTTGGATTGATCTTATTGTGGCTTACACTCCTAGACCATACATCACTTTGAAACATCACAGTTTCTAGAGCCTTCCTTCGGCCTTCCTTCGGCATCTCGCCAAGTTTCGCTCGCTCCCCATACTAACACTTGTAGAGTTAGGTCGTGACTATTACCCTTCAGAAATCACTTCCAGCAACCCTGTACAAATAATCCGGTTTTCATCTGTACGATCACTAGGTAAAACTAGGGAGGAATGCGGGTTTAGGTGGGCATGAATGCCCAGATCTGGCATGCCAATCTTGTACAGCGTACACTATGATTCAACTCCCACCATTTACTTGCCAATGAAAAAACCCACTCACATTTGAAATTTCTTTGGGATCCTTGACCCCCAAACTATCGGAACTGTTTCAATTTATGGGGGGAGGGGGGCATTGTCTACTCCAAATCACTTGGCATTCCGCAGTCACTCCTTAGCACCGGATGCCCTCGGCGTCTCGAATCCTTCTGTTCAGGGGGTTTTATGACTGCATAATTTGATGAGACAGCTGAACAGTGATACAACATTCCCAGAAGGAATGGCCCACATGCCCCCGCAGACACAGATCAAGGCACAAGTTCGATAGTCTTGAGACGATCATCCTGGCATGTCTGGTGTTCAGCCGTCTTGCGGAAATTGAATATATACCTGCCCTTCTTCGGTCCCCAATGCATAGCTACAACATACACTTTTCTTTGCTCAGTTTACATTGTTCGCGGCTTGAAGCTGCTTTTCGACTTTTGACGACAGACTGGGTATCTGTTCACACACTCTTTGCTCTGATCCTAGAATCTACCTCTCGACCTGTCTACAAACACAACACGACTGTCGTTTAAAGCTCTCATCATGCTCAAACGTCTTGCACTTGGCCTGCTGGCCGTTCAGTCCGTGGCTGCCACACGCTTTGCCATGTACATTGACGAGTCAGTACAAACAGTGCAGTTGATCAAAATCCCCTAAGCCCACGGCTGATTTTTATTCAAGATACCATCTGACCGATCTCCCGGGTCAGGACAAGACCGAGGGCATTGACTATGCGATCATGGCTTTCGCTGCCTCCAAGCTATTCAACTCGGATTCCCCGGCAGCTTACAAGCCATTCGAGGACCCCGAGACTATGCGCAAGCGATTCAGTCCCGACACCAAACTTATGGTCGCTATCGGTGGCTGGGGTGATACTGCTGGCTTCTCCGAGGGCGCAAAGGACGAGGCTTCGCGCACGCGATATGCCCAGAATGTTGCTGCGATGCTCGACGCAAATGGATTCGACGGCGTCGGTAAGATTCTTTTCAACAATGGATTGCAAATGAATTAAAGAGACAGGTTATTAACCCTTGTCCATAGATATTGACTGGGAGTATCCCGGCGGTAACGGCCAAGACTACAAAGACGTACCTAACTCGAAGAAAGTGGACGAGATCGAAACCTACCCTCTCTTTCTCGAAGCTCTCCGCGAAGCAATCGGCGACAAGGTCCTCTCTATCGCAGTACCAGGTCGCAAGCAGGACTTTCTTGCCTTTACTAAGGAGCAAGGTCCTAAGATCTTCAAGTCGGTCGATATGATCAATGTCATGAGCTACGATTTGACTAACCGCCGTGATAACGTTACCGACCATGCGAGCGGCGTTCAAAACTCTTTGGAAACTATCAACGATTATCTCGCCATTGGAGCTGATCCCGAAAAGCTCAACCTTGGCTTTGCGTTCTACGCTAAATGGTTCACCACCGATCCTAACTCTGATTGCGATGAGAATCCCCTCGGCTGCCATCTTGCTAAGCTCGAGAACGACGATGGAACCGATAATGGCAAGTCTGGTGCCTTGACTTTCGAGGCTAGCAACGCTGCTGCTGCGCCTCAGAATCTGAGGTATAGCACAGATGGAACGTGTGGATTTGGAGCGAATGCCAAGTGCCCTTCAGGACAGTGTTGCAGTGCTTCCGGCTACTGGTAAGCATCATCACCTTCAACTACTTCTGGTGATCTCCGAACTAACTTCCTACAGCGGTACTACCGATGAGTATTGCCAGGCTGGATGTCTTTCGGACTATGGTACCTGCAAAGGTATCTCCATCACCGACTCATGGCGGAAAGCCCAAAAGTACGGCAAGACCGACGAGGAGGGCGGTGGCCAGTACTACTTTGACAGCCAAAACAACATTTTCTGGACATGGGACACCCCCGAGTTAATTGCTCGCAAGTTCGAGGAAATTGTCGAGGCGAAGAAGCTTGGTGGTGTCATGGCTTGGAGCTTGGGAGAGGATACCTATAACTTTGAGCACCTGGAGGCTATCCAGAAGGGTCTTGAGTCTCAGGCCTCCAACGCTGTGTAGTCTCCCAACACTGAGATATAGGGAACTGGAGGCATATACCATTGAAGAGTCCTTGGAGCCGAGCTTGTCAGATTATATACCAACTTGTATTTTCTTCCTAATTGAACAGTTGTTTTCCCTTGTTTGCCATGGTTTTTCTAAATATCTACAAGGTATCTATCTCATCTTACTCCGGATGTACCAATCCTCACCTCCAATTACCATTCCATTCTTTATAGATTACTAGGGACTCCATCGTCTCATCCACGACTCAATGTACCTCTGCATCAAACCATCAGTGACGGGGTCCTCCACAAGAGCCAAAAAGGGGCAGTCGTGAACCGTAATCTCAGTTTCGAATCCAAGTCCAACCTCTCCATTCTTCCTTTTTCCTGCAGTAGTTTCATCTGCCTCAGGCTGGCCATAGGCTGCATACTTGTTTTTCCAGAAATCGACAAGTTTAACGCTCGGATTCTTCTCCGGGTCCTGCTCACTACATTCCAATCTCCTCAGCCACTCCTGCGGAGACACAACCTCAAACTCTGGCAAGGCTGATTTCCCCTTCAAAGCAGCAAGCAAATCCCCCTTCCAGCTAAAATTCCTCGGATTAACCAAATGGTATACCAAATTGGCATCGGAAGATCCAGCACTTTTCATAGCAATGTCCGAGATAGCCCGACCACACTGATCAACAGGCAACCAACTAACCCGCTCATTAAGTTCCGGCAATGCGCCCGTTGTCAAAGCACTTCGGAACATGAGCGCAACAGCCTCCGTCTCATTCCATTGAGCACTGACGGTATCACCGCCAAGCTGACCTATTCTCAGAACTCGGGCTTGCATGCCTGTCTGGAGCATGGCGTTACGGGTGATGTGTTCAGTGACCATCTTCGACCTGCCATAGCCAGTTTTCTGTGCGAGATTCAAGTCCTCAATGATAGTCTCGGGGATCGACGCGGGCTTGGGCGTGTTGCTTGCAGCGCTAACGCTGGAGCAGAAGAAGAACCGTGCAGGGGAGGGTAGACGGGAGCGCAGACAGAAGTTGATGAGGTTGTATGTTCCGCGGATGTGCTGCTGCTCGAATGACCGTACGCCTAGGTTGAAATTTACGGCCCAGGCACTGTGGATCACGCATGTCAACGACGAGAGTAGGTGTTGCAGATCGTGTTCTTCGAGACCGAGGTTGGACTGTGACATGTCACTAGAGACGGCATGAAGCTTTGCGGCTTCGGTATTGGTAAGAGTGATGTTACGATCTGCTAGCGATTTATAGAGACGAGCCCCTGCCGCCGCTTGTCCTGGTGCACGCAAGATTGCCCAGACTTCGGAGACTGTTGGTCGCTGTAGCAATTCTTTGACAATGAAGGCTCCCAAGTTACCCGTTGCGCCGGTGACCACCACAACCTCTGTTTCTGGGCTTTGGGTGATGGTCGGGAAATGTTGAGTGAAGCGGGAGTACTTTTCTATCATCTCGCGCATGGAATGAAGTTCATCTTCCTTCTCGGATTCTTGACCCGTTCGCAGCTGATAGAGGTGCTTCGCCAGTGCATTGATAGTTCCTTTCTCGAACACAACGTTCTGGGAAAGCTTATCTCCCGACTCGCCAATATCAATATTGCGCATGATGCACCTCCAGATTTGCGTGGTCTGCAAGCTGTCAACTCCGGCAGAGAAGATGTCGGCCTCAGGGCCGGGTAGTGGTACGCCCAAGTCTTCGCTGAATCTTGAAAGGAGCCAATTCTCTAGTTCTGGAATGCTGAGCGCGAGAGAACCTCTTTTCTGGCCGCTCCCTTCAAATTTGGCATATACCTGATTGATGTCCTCCTCAAATTGCTGATAAACCTGGGCGCGTATACAGGTTCCTTTATCGGTTCTGGGATATGCAATATCAGCACCCTTGATCACGATGAGATCCTTTGGGATGCGAGAGAACGTCTCGGCGCGAGAATTTGCCTCTTCAACGGCTGGCCAGATAACGTCCAAAAATTCTTCGTTGCTCAAGTGAGGCACCTTGCCAGGAGCACGGAAGATCAAAGCCCCAGGCACAGTCCGCTGGAAGCCGAACACAACGCAGTCACTCACGATAGGCTCTTCTCTAACGCGACCCTCAATAGGAATAGGAAGCACCTTTTCGCCGTTGACCAGCGTGATTCGATCATCCAGCCGACTCAAATACTTGAAGTAGTTTTTCTTTTCTGGATCAGGGTGTCTGGTAAACAAATCTGCCGTTCTGAACGAGTTCTCTGGGTTCTTTGCGCTGTAGGGTGGCTTTGAATTCGAAGGGCCCTTGCTCGGCAGGCCATCCAACGCAACACATTCGAAAACCCCAGGCGAGATCTCATCCATCAAAGTGAGGTCCGCAACAGGACGGTGCAGTCGCATATACTGCCACTCCTTATCTTCCGGAGCTCGGAAAGAAGTCATGATTTGTCCTGTCTCCGTCGCTCCATAATTAGCGACCAGGTTAACACCCTGTGCCACAAGACGGTCGCCAAGATCATCTGGGCAGCTGGAGCCGCCATATAGCACGAGTTGCGGCCTAGCCAGTGCTTGAATGCCTTCTTTCTTCTCTGCCAGTAGTTTGATCACATATGGCACGGCGCTGATTTGCTGTGGCTGGGCCACCTGAAGGGCTTCAAAAAGATTTTGATATGTGACTGGAAGAGAATGGTTTCCCAGGTACGCTGGTGCTCTGGTAAATAATGCTCGTCCAAGCTCCATCAGAGCATGGGAGTGGAATAGTGGGCTGATAGTGAAGAGTCGCAGCCCAAAGCTCTTTCGGAAGTTGGCTAGTGTTTGAAGGTTGGTAAGGAAAATCGGCTTTGGAAAACCGGTACTGCCTGAAGAATGAAGAATCCAGGCAATCTTATTGCCTTCTCGTGATGGATCCGCACCCGGGCGTTCAAAGAGAGGGGCACTAACAGGACGGTTGAACCAGTCCTCTCTTTGTAGTAGCGAGAAGCTATTGCAACCAGGACGCTCAGTGCAAATATCAATTACAACTTGCTGATGTTGTTTTTTGTTGACAATCTGGTTGCAATTTGCTATTCCCATTAGCCGGGCATAAGCTGGAGCCGTGAGACGTGTAGATAAGAAAAGCACAGCATAGCCAAGGCGATTCAGCGCAAAGAAAGTCACCACGACCTCGAAGCTAGATCCAGCTAGCATAGCAATAACAGGGGCTTGCTCAAGACTTGGATCCTAGGAGATGATTAGTCCCGGTTGACACGGAAAAAATGACTTTCTTCTTACCGCAGGTGCAAGACCCTGCTGCATGTAAAAACGAACAGCGAGATCAGCAAACCGATCGATATCCCCGGCTGTATGCTCCTCGAAATCAGCCGCTTCATGATTCGGATAGCATACTAGAGGTCGCTGTGCCTCATCTGGCTGAGCAGCATGAGATTTTAACAGACCATCGATGGTTGCGAATTGTTCAAACGCCGGCCACTGGGAGTGAAGTGTGCCGTTCAATAGCCGAGTCGCGATATCTTTGGTCTGGAGTGGCGATACGCCCTCTTCAATGGTTACTGTAGCCATGATGGCTGATTTAAACGACAATTCCAATTCATTCGCTCGAGATGGTTTTTATATCTGGCGGAAAAGCCCCTCACGGGTGCTTTTCCGGATTTCCGACTTGATGCCCCCCCGGAAAACACCGCATGCCCGGTTTTGGATCTCCGCATCATTTCCAGTGCCAAAGAAGGAAATATCTGAGCGTTGATGTAAGAAAGCTTTATTCCAATGATTGGTGTGGTATCTGACAACTTGGATGCATGAATATGAGACCAGCTCTGGGTTGGTGTTGATGAGCTCGGATATCCGAGGTGAACAACGCACAGGCGTTTCCGCAGCACAAAAGACTTTAGTAAAGGTCCTCTGCAACAGAAGCCCATGTATACCAATCGAGCTCAGTTTTTTTCGTAGACTTAGGTCTATATAATATTTCACTGTAGTTACACATTAAAGGTCTATTTTACACCGTATCACCTTGAATCCGGCATAATCGACCATTCTGATTCGGAAGACCATCCATGCTCTTTACAACCCAATCCTCACTGCCAACACCAGTAGGCACATAGAACAAACCAGTCGGGTCATACCGCTGTTTCAGCTTATACAAACGGTCGTAGTTGGTACCATAGAAGGCCTGCTGGAAGTGCGGCTCTTGGATATCCGACTCGGACATGTACGCGCCGGAATCGGGGCAGACAGCGCGCCACTTTCCAATGGCTTTAGTGAGGTCATCCATCTTGACTTTGATGTCAGCATCGGAGGTAGTGTTCGTCCAGGACGTCGATGTGATGGCGTGCATCAGCGACTGGCGGAAAGCCGGGTTTGCTGCATTCGAAGTGAAGCCCTCTTGTAGCTCGGCTTTCATGTTGAATGCGAGCAATGTAAAGCCGTCGGTTATAGTCGCACGTAAGGCATTGAATGTCTCATTCAGCAATGTAGGCGTTTCCCAGTTTGCGCGCGGGAAGAGGCGAGAGCCGGTCATTACGGTCGAGGAGGCGACGGTTTCGAGCGGAAATCCGGCGTTCCAGCCGTCGTAGAAGCTGTCATAATAGGTTGTATTTGGTTGGATTAGAATTCCCAGCTCATGAAGGTCATCGAACCATGGTTTGACTAAATCGTTGAACTCGTCCACGGTATGATTGACGGCGAAGAAGGGGCTCATTAGGAAGGTGAATGCACCCGGGCCCATCGGCATCACCCAAAAGTATGCATAGGTGCCAGCGTCGGCGTGAGCCGGGAATCGCTCCAAATATGATCGGATACCAGCCCAAAAGGTCTCGACGGAAACATCATCGCTAGTGGAAAAGTTGAATGTCGAGACAGTAACACCTACCTTGGGGTAGACACGAGAGATTAGGGAAGTGACCACTCCGTAGGTTCCTGGTCGGAATCGGTTAGATAGAATCCCGAGAAGAGAATGTGAAGCACACATACCACCGCCGCCACCACGCAGAGCCCAGAATAGATCAGCATCACTTTCTTCAGTCACAGTGACGAAGCGTCCATTTGCCAGCACGACCTCAAGAGCTAGAACTTGATCAGCAGCTAGGCCATATACGCTGGACATGGGCGAATGGCCACCGCCGAGAACGTAGCCACCAGCAACACCGACAGTCTAAACAGTTCAGTTATTGCAAGTGTCATTCGGAAATGATCAACTAACCTTCCCTTCGCCACCAACGGCGGTGAATTCAAGTTCCTGGCCCTTTGAATAGATCTCAAATGCCTGCACACCTGACCCCATCTTGACAGCTGGACCCTGATAGCCTGAGGCACGATAATTCTCATAGTATTCAATATCCTTGAGATGGTGGGTCCAGATACCCAAAGCACCAGCACCAGTCGATTTGCCGTTAAAGTCATGGCCGGTGTTCTTAACGACCAGGCGGATGTCCGCGTTACGTGCAAAGTTTACCGCAAGTTGAATTTGAGCGACACGGCTCACATTCACAGCATAACTGCTATATCCACCCACTGTGCAAGATGCAGAGGCATTGGTAGTGGGTAGACAGGTTCTTCCCTCGAACAGAGGCCACATTGCTGACGCGGGGTCCGCAGCACTAAACGTGGAGTCAGTATGCCATTTCTATGTTTTACACACTCGTGGTGGAACGAACTGAAGATGGGAATCCGTCCACAGCGAGCTGATTTTCTCGCATTCGGCGCTGTCATATTCGGGCCAAGAAGAATAGCAAGACGCCGCTAGGGGGACTGTTTTGATGAGCGCACCACCTAGAAGGTCATCCAAGGCCGACCATGTAGACTGCGACGGCCACTGGTGGTCACCGGGCAACACCTTACATTTCCCTAAAGGTCGTTTGGTCTTACCAGTGGCATTGCTCCCAAATTCAACCAAGGTTGACTGATGTTGTTTGAGCTTCGCAATGTCATGATCTGCCAAAGGAAACCGCTCGCTGTCAAATAGCATTGCGCCAGCTATGGGGCTAGGCAAACCCTGTCCAACATGGGCATCTCCGGGGGTTACGAGGAGGATAGCACCAAGAAAAACTGCTGTTCTGAGCGAGCAAGGGGCCATGGTGAGATTGTGAAAGGGACGAAGCTATGTCTGACCTTCGCAAGACCGAGAAAAGTGGTGAATGGAGAGTTTCAAATCAAGTCTCCCACGCTCGCCAACCCAAGCTGTAGATTAAACGATCTTTGTAGTACCCAACATGGGATGGTGCTTCCGTAACATGAGGTCGACATTCAAAAGGAAAGCTGGCCACCTCCCAAACAACTTGGGATGTCTCACTCAAGCTCTCGCTCGAGCTGCATCTCACTCCACTCTCGTGCGTCTCTTTTCGCCGGGCTTAAAAGATTAAGCTAGAGCCTGATGGGTCCTTTTTTTTTCAGATCTCCGCGGTGGAATCACCTAGGATAGACTTTGTGACGCCTGCTGTGTGTTCTTGGCAATACAACGCCTTCTACCCAATATAACTATCATTACTTTCTTTTCATCCATTACTCTGTATGAAGAAGATAATGGCCTATGCTCACTCCGGTCGGGGTAGACGTTCTATCTACGACTGAGTCGAGCAACACGACTACATGAACATGCGCTACTATCCTCGTCTTCATTCTCATCGGGCTACCATTTGGTCTAACGCGACTTTTATTCTCCCTTTTTTTCCTAATCCAATATGCCCCACCTGGGTAGATCCGATAAGCTTTCGGAGGAATACAACATTCGCAACGCAAGGGACTAGGAGAATGTTGCATTTCATTTGAGTTCACTCAAGAGTAAGGGGAAACCGATGAAGCAGTACCGATCGTTCCGTTTCTGTGCGAGGCATTGATATTGTGAGCCGATGCACCCTCATCTGCAAAAAAATCACCTTGACGACTTTTGATCCTTGACAAGTCCACTTCAAAGTTCGATGCCGACTGGGGGAGTTCTCATGCACTCCTCTTTCGCCCCCTTACATGGACCAGCTGCAAATGCTACGGTGTAAGAACGATCAGGGTTTTCACTAACATCCCAGAGGTGACTGTTTTCTGTGCGCCGATGATTCAAATATTGACCCGTGTAAGGAAGGATACGTTGGGGGCTAGGGCTTGCAATCTACATTGAAAGTACATTTCAACAAGCGACCATTCAGATGACAGCAAGGTGAGAAATGACTCGGCTTTCTGTCGAGAAGTCTGGCCAAGAAGAACTCCACCCATCTAAATTGAGGCTCAAACCCTTGCGCGCTATTCAATACTGACTCTCTCCTCAATTACCGGCATCAACGGACATGCAATTTTTTTTTGGCAGATGGCGCCCAGACCCCCAATTGGCTCAATCTATGAAAATGGCTCCAATGGCCCTAGAACTCCCAAGCAAAAGAAGTGGACCCGATGTCGATCCTAGCTCATTGTGGTAGCCGCAATGCCAACCCTACATCTTAAGATCAAGCTCACAGGCTGATCAAGAAGCCTTCCCCTTCTCTGAGAAGATCACACAATGGTTGACAATCATTATCAGAAAGCCGCCTTAGGTATCGTGGTCGCCTTCCCTATTCTGGGAGGTATTGCAGTTCTCCTTCGGCTCTGGAGCCGATGGCTATTACGTTCTGCACTCACAAGCGGTATGGGTTGAACCCTCCCGGGTTCCAGGTTGGCACTGGATTTGGACTTGTAGAAGTGATTGCTAAAGAGATTTGATATAGATGACTACTTGATTGTCGTGGGATATGTAAGATCCCCATAGGTCCAAGTCTATGAGCAAATGCTTAATTTGTCTTTTCCTAGGTTATCGCCATCTCGCAATCTGTTACCTCATGGTACTGTAAGTGGTTTGGTGATGAAGCGCAAACCGAGCATCGGCTAATTCGGTAAGATCAGTTATCAAAACCAACTATGTCGGCATTCACATCTGGGATGTTCCCAAGAACCACAATCCCAGACCCGGGCTGAATGTAAGGTGCAAAACACAGCTTGCTTCATAGATCAGAGAGACTCACATGAACAAAACAGTGGAACTTCGCAAATCAACTCCTCTACAATCCAGCCTTGACCGTGGTCAAACTATCGATCTTGTTATTTTTGCGCCGTCTCGATTCACACTCACGGGTGGTCAAATGCCTCATCTGGAGCTCCTTTGCCATGGTAACCAGCCTTTTCATTACCGTTCTCTTCGTCGACATCTTCCAGTGTAGCCCAGTGGCATACATCTATGACATGACGATTCCGGGGGGCAAATGCATCAACCAAGCGGCATTCTACGTCTCGACCGCAGCGCTAAACCTGTTCACCGATATAATGGTCCTCTCCATCCCGATTATAATCATCGCACGCCTGCAAATGCCTCTCCGACGCAAACTTGCCGTGTGCATCATTCTATGTCTAGGTGGGGTGTAAGTAACTCCCCACATCCAACCCCAACCCCAACTCCATCTCCATCTCCATCTCCATCTCCATCTCCATCCCCAACTCACCAAATAACGCACAGCGCAACCGCCATCGGAGTCTGGCGCATCATTATTCTCGCCCAAGGATTTCTCTCCCACACCCCAAACCCAGACCCAACCTACTCAATCGGATTCTGCAGCTCGGCAGTCGAAGTAAATATCGCCGTGGTAACAGCCTGCGGCCCCTCCTTAAAAGCCATCAGCGGCAGGTTTCTCCCGCGTCTTCTCGGTAGCTCGTGTAACGTAAAATTGGCCTACGGCACTGACACCGGCACCCGCGTTGGGTCACGCAGACTCCTATCGAATCATCTCAAGGCCAAGTCTGCATCACACGCACAGACATCACTTTGCTCCACCCGTGGTACTGATCATGAAATGGCAGACCCGCTGGGCGGGCCGCATGGCAATGTTGGTGATTTTGAAATGCGTAAGTATAAGCGTGGAGATAGTTCGAGTGGGAGTTTGAGTGATGATGATAAGGGTTTTATGAAGACTAGTGAGATCTCAGTCGGATACGGTATGGAGCCCAGGGCGGAGAATCGGTCGCAAGAGGGAAGGCCGACTAGTATAGATAGCTTGGTGTAACACAGAGGGTACTTTGTACAGAAAGTAATTTATGAATGCTCATGGCCAGTAGCCAACTTGAAGATCTACTCCATTTTCGGATGTGAGGGGTTATACAGAGCACATAAGAGGCCCCGTATTTCCCCTCTTCACATGAACTCTTGTCCGGTGAATATATTCAAAATAACTTGTATCGAGTTATCGAAAACTTTCGAGAATCATCAACATGACGACTCAGTACCAGTTGCCGTTCAAGGTGTGCATTCTACTCATTTATCCCTGTCCACTTGGATATCCGGCAACATGTTCGAAATGTTGAGCGCAAACAGCACTAATACGATTTTCTGCAGCTCGCGGATCCCAGTCTGCTGAAATTTGACTCCATCATCGGCGACAAATGGGTCGGTGCCCAGAGCAGCAAGCGGTTTGAGGTCCAGGGTAGGTCACTTCCAGGTCTGTACCTGACGCGGAGATCACCGCTTATGTAGATACCACTCAGATCCCGGCACCGACAAAGCGTGGGCCAGCTGCCCGGCAAACGCAGCAGAAGATGTATCTGCCGCTGTGGAAAATGCACACGTAGCCTTTGAGCAATTCCGCAAAGTCAATCCACGTCAGCGCGCCAAGTGGCTTCTAGAATGGCACAACTTGATCGCAGCGGCTCGCGACGATCTCGCCCAGATCTTAACCCACGAAACAGGCAAGCCGCTAGCAGAAGCACAAGACGAGGTCAACGACTCCCTCGGCTTCCTATGGTGGTTCGCCGGAGAAGCAGAGCGTATCCAGGGCAGTGTATCTAGAGCTGCGGAACCGAACCGCCGCCTGTTCACCATCAAGCAGCCGATCGGCGTGGCAGCCGCCCTCATCCCATGGAACTTCCCCGTTGCCATGGTTATACGGAAAGCCGGCGCCGCGCTAGCAGCTGGCTGTACGATGGTCGTTAAGCCCAGTCCTGAGACGCCGATTTCGGCGCTCGTTTTGGCAGAGTTGGCGCACCGTGCGGGTATCCCGGCTGGTGTGCTGAATGTGCTCCCTACGGACTTGGAGAATACACCGGCACTGAGCGAGGCGTTGTGTAAGCACCCGCTTGTTAAGAAGGTGACGTTCACGGGCTCGACACGAGTGGGTAAGTTGGTTGCTTCGCACTGTGCGCATGGTCTGAAGAAGTTGACCCTCGAGCTCGGTGGGAACTGTCCCTTCCTTGTTTTCGATGATGCCAATCTCGACCAGGCGGTTGAACAGCTCACGGCGTTGAAATGGCGCCATGCGGGTCAGGCGTGTATTACTGCCAATCGCATCTATGTGCAGGCAGGAGTGTATGATCGTTTCGCTGCGCTTCTGAAGGAGCGTACTGCTGCGATAACTGTTGGTCATGGTGCGGTGGCCGGTACCACGATGGGACCATTGACCACGCCTCGGAGTGTCGAAAAAGCAGCTGCACACGTAGAGGATGCTCGTCGTCTCGGTGCCGATGTCATCTTAGGGGGTAATCCTCTCAAGTCGAACCCTGGTTATTTCTTCGAGCCCACTATTCTATCGGGAATGACGGAGGAAATGCTCATTTCACAGGAAGAATCCTTTGCGCCTATTGCTGCGCTTTACCGGTTCGAGACTGAGGAGCAGGCTGTCAAGCTGGCTAATGATACCAGCATGGGTCTGGCTAGTTATGCTTTCACCAAGAATGTCGATCGCACGTGGCGTCTCTTCGAAAACTTGGAGGCGGGAATGATCGGGATGAATGCAGGTGGGTTTACTATTCATATCGTTATGCAAAAATATGCCTAACAAATTCTGCAGGCAACCTATCAGTCGCCGAGTCGCCTTTCGGCGGGCTCAAGGAATCTGGTTATGGCAAGGAGAGTGGAAAGGACGTGGCGGTCGATGAGTACCTAGTTAGCAAAACAGGTACCTTGACGATTGAGGGACATCATTGAACATATACATGACCTTCATAGACCAAGTCTTCTACCTGAATGAAATGAAATTTGTGAATGTTGTATTGGCTTCAGTGTGAGTGGTTGAATCCACTTTTCTCCAGGCGTGGATGGAAATGGATGTCCTGATTGGCTACACGCAATTGGGGGGGAATCTTTTCAATATCAGATTTTCTTCACTGCACATTACATACCTTCAATATCATCACCATGGACAGCATTGGTACACTACGACACCTGATTCAGTCTCACCCGCTCATTGATCACCATGCACACAACCTGCTGAACCGCGAGTCAGCCACCGATTATGAAAATTACCCATTAAAAGCCATCACCTCATCAGCCGACGGTCTAGCCCTAGAAAATGCCCGCACCACGCTCCCCTCGCTGCGGGCCACAGCCCAACTCTCCGAGCTATACGGTCGCCCCTGTGCAGACTGGACCGATATCCAGACCGCCCGCAATCAAAGCGTGCGCGAAGACTACGACGGCTTGATCCGAAAGTCTCTATCAGGCACGCATGCACTGCTACTCGATGACTACCTCAGTGACGACGAAGACATCGAACCGTCCAGCTGGCACGATAGCTTTACGGTCTCGCCGACAAAATGCATCGTGCAAATCGAAGCTCTGGCAGAGTCCACAATCCTGCAGGTCTCCAACGCTCGCAAGAACGGCGAATCAGTCTGGAACAATTTCCGACAGCGATTCCAAGATGCGCTCGGCGAGGCTTTGGACGATGCCAATGTCATTGGGTTCAAATCAGAAATTTGCTGTCGCACCGGATTGGACGTGGATCCGTATTCCTCCGATGATACCACACTTGGCGGGTCATTGATTCGCATCCTCGATTCTGGAACCACCAGGTCTGGGTTCGAGGTCGATGATAAGCAGATCTGTGATTGGATAGTCCAACAGACGCTGAAAGCGATCTCGTTCAAGAAGAAAGCCGGTGTTGTGAAACCTTTGCTATTTCACACCGGCTTGGGAGATAATCGGATTAATCTTTTGCGGTCGAACCCTGCGTATTTGCAGCCGTTAATCGCGCAGTATGCTAGCGCGGACATCGTGCTATTGCACGCTGGATACCCTTACACCCGCGAAGCGGGGTATCTAGCTTCTGCTTATCCCAACGTCTATCTTGATCTCGGGAAGGTCTTTCCCATGGTTAGCCGCGAGGCACAAACGAAGGTTCTGAGAGACAGTCTAGAGCTTGCACCTACCAACCGTCTGCTCTGGAGTACGGGTGGCCAGTTTCACCCTGAGACATTCTGGTTGGCTAATAGACAGTTCCGCCAGGCTCTCGAGACGGTTAGTTGCCAGCGTACTTTTTTTTTAAAAAAAAAAAAATACGTCTGCTTACTTATTTTGTTAAACAGGTTCTCGTGGACTATGTTCAATATGGCGACTTCACTGCGGCTCAGGCTATGAAAATAGCCGCTGATGTTCTGTTCTACAACGCCAATCGTCTTTATAGCCTCGACTTGACTCCGTCATACACACCTGGAGAGTAAACCGCTGGCGAGGAAAAATTTGCACAGGTTTGTTGATGTCTTGAATTTCCGTTCCTTGGTATATACTAATAATTACCTTGTCAGCTGATATTTCTACCCTCAGGCTCTCCAAATGCATAACGCTTGGATATCGCAAACCCGTTGCAAAAGTTCATCACCCCTTCATAGATTCTCAGACCTCTCAAGGTGACACGGGCCTACAAGTGCTGCTAGTCCCGCTGCATGTGATGAAATACGTAACAGTCAAGCAAGCCGAACCAGTACACTCGCCATCTAACCCGAAGATTCTCGATTTCACTTTCTGGAACAATGCCAAAAACGAGGAGGTCATGTCGATGAGAAACATCTAAATTGTAGTCTCATACCACAACTGATCATATTCATGACATTTGTTTTCAACGCCGTCTAGCCGTCATCCCAAATCGTGTACATATCGCAAGGCCAGCAGAGCGATCCAGCGCCACCTGAAGTAACAGACATCTACAAGTTTGTGAATTTCCATCACCAAAATAAGATCGAAAAAGCAAAAACGCACGTATATCACCAGGCGGCTAGAACGTTGCACGCCTTGCAATGTTGAGTATCTTGCAAGAAACGAAAAAAAAAATTACAAGCTCCAGCCTTCGCTCCCATGTACCCAGCGTTGGCTTGGCATAAAGTAGTGTAAATCAGAAATTATATAAACAGTAGTTGTCGAAATTTGTGTGTAAGTCAAACAAAGGGGAGTGAAGAGAAAAAGAGAAAAGGCGAAAACCAAGTGTCATCACGTTCATGTCTAGAGTGATAGCATTGAAAATGTTTCAGCATTATCAACACCAATCCCATATTCAGGTCAACGATAGACTGATATCATAGGGCTTTGATGATAGAGAAAATCAGAACAGAACAAAAGTAGTTCATGTCGTGTGCAGTTTGTTGGCAGGGTATAGAGGTGAGGTAGAAAGGTGCTGGAAGGAAATGTGGTCACCAGAAGAGGTGTGTCAGGCGACAAATTTCAAATGAAAATTTCAGGAACAAGCCAGCGCGAACAGGCCAGCGCACCAAACCAAAATGGACCAAATGATGCTGGTTCAACATGCCATCTTCCGTTCTGTTACCATCCCATCCCTTTCCCACTCATCTAGTAGCCGTGCGACTTCTCTGAAAGAGACAGGTTTGGTGAGGAACAGGTCTACACCAGAAGCAATGGCATCTGACTCATCACGAGAGCTGCTCAGTCCAGTCAGAGCAATTATGATAGCTGGGGTACGGCCATCGATGTCCCTCTCCAACGAGCGGATAGCACGTGTAGCCTCGAAACCATTCATGACCGGCATCGACATGTCCATGAAGATGATATCGTAACCGCTCTGCATACGCTCGACTGCCTCCACCGCCAATTTGCCGTTCTCAGCTGGGTCCAGCTCGGTTAGCTGGCGCTTTTTGAGGAACGTCATCATCAAGTTGAGGTTTATGCGATTATCATCAACCACAAGCACTCGTGTCAGTCGTCGAGATTTGGTGGTGTCCTCTACCAGTGGTCCTGTTAAGGGGGCTTCTGAAATTTCCTCGGGTAGTGTGGTGATTTGTGATGCAGCTTGCGGTGGTGAAATTGTCATGGGGCGGATTCCAGGACAACTCAGCTCCGGAGCGCTAGAGCTATCAGCGGAGGACATGAGGGGTGAAACGAAGGCAGATGGCAACGAGGACGTCCTGAGAGGCAGACTCAGTGGTTGCAGAGCGGAAGCTGGTGTCGCGGATCTCGATTGGCCGTGGGTCAGACACCTCATCACACTTCGAGCCAACTTGTGTGGCCCACAGGGACGCCGGATGATGTCCACGGAGGAGGCAAGAGGCAACCACTCGGATTTTGCCCCAGTGTAATCCACTGACTTGTGACATAGAACGAGAAGAGCAGGCAAAGTAGCCGAGGGTGCAGTGGTGCGGAAGTTCGGTAGGTCGTTTTCATCCATAAGCACAAGATCAATTCGGGCTTCCGGTGTCCATGCGACGATCTCTATTTTATACCAGTCTGAAAGGTACCGAGCAATTTCAGACCAATTAGAGTCGGCATTCACATCGGTTGGATTGGCTCCCCAGATGGAGGCTCGTCTACCAGGGTATGCCTCGCGTAGTAGAAGAGTTTGGGTCAAGGTCTCTCTCTGTTGGATAAGCTGTCCAGACGGTTCGATGGCCGGGCTTTCCTTGCCAACAGGCCGCTCTAGGGGGAGGGATACATGTACGACAGTGCCCTCCCCAGGACGGCTGCGAATTCGAATGCTTCCATCCAGAGCCTTGACCAAACTGCGAACAATTGACAATCCCAGCCCGGTACCAACAGCCAGGGCGTCTTCCTGGGCAAAAGGTGTATAAAGCTTGCCGCGCAAAAACTCTTCCGATATACCTTTACCCGTGTCGGTTACTGTCAATGTAACCAAGTCTTCAAGGCCCTGCCGCCGAGATCGTCCTTCAGATTGGCTAGATGCTGCCAAGGATAAAGTGACACGGCCAGAGTCTGTGTATTTCATGGCATTTCCAAAAAGATTCATAATGATGCGCCGCAAAGCACCCGGCTGAGTACGGTAAACCCAATCTCGGAATGAAATGTCGATAACAACTTCGACATTCGACCACTGATTCTGCGACTTTGTTTGATGTGGCATCAAAACGGGCAGGTCCGCTGAAGCAGTAGAGCTCTGACCATATACATGGCCAAGACAGATGCCTTCAACGACTTCCTCGGCAAGGATGGCTACATCAGTAGCCACAAGCGTATCCAGATGATGCGCCAGTTTGTCTGAACCTTTGAATTCCAGCGAAGACTCTTTCTTACGTTTTATTGACCGCCAGGTTCGTTCCAAGGATACTACTTTGCTGAAGTCAAGTACCTGATTCATTGTATCCAGCAACGTCCGGCCACAGGAATTAACAGTCTCAAGCAATGAGGCCTGGAATTCGTTGAGATGAGTACTGTTCAAGAACTCGGCAGCGGCCAAGATTCCATGAAGGGGGCTACGAAGTTCATGTCTAGGAAAAGATAGTGGTCAGTATCTGTTGTCGAGCATGTTTAACATCCCCCAGAAATCTAATTAAAACTCACGAGATACTCCCAATAAAATCTCCCTTTTGCCGATCCGCAATGAGGGATTCAACACGGCTATATTCGGCCATAATGGAAGATGAAAACCCAAGCACGGAACTGAGCTCGACTGAGGTAGTGAACACCTGGGTTTCAACTGTACTCCAGCAGAAACACCCTCCGAACCACTGCGAGGAAACAGCATTCCACAAAGGCACAAACATGATTTGCGCGGCATTTGGGAAATACTGGTTGAGTATTGAGTTCTCCGCGGCTTTTCTCCGTTTTCGCAAGGGCTTTGAAGGTTGTGGAGCACTGGGTGGAGATCGACTGGCACTGGTGCTAAGAGGGGCCTTGTCTTGCAGTTCTTGGTCGTCATCGTCTGATGTCAAGATGAGCCCATCGCGGTGGAAAGACCACAGCTTTCCTTTGGGGTACCGTCGAAGTAACAGTTGGAGAAATGATCGGTCCAAGTTGGCCGCAGCGCAGGTGGCCATCGACCCTGCCTGGGGAGCAAACGGTTCTTCATTTGTTGATGCTGACAGCACAGAGGCAGGTCCGCCTGTGTCGGAACAGTCACTCCCCATTTCTGCATCCATCAAAGGGAAGTTGTTAGCCTCCAGAAAAATGACCCCACTATCGCCGCTCAGGTCAAGACTCTCACGGAGTAAGTTGGCCGCCCTGCGGAAACACCAAGAGTTACCTTGCGAGTCATCGGAAGGTAGTCGATTTCGGCTGCTGCTTGTCAGCCATTCTGGCAGTGAGCTCTCTACAGTGCCCGATTCAACTTTTGAACCACTGCTTAATTTCGAATCATAGTCCATTTTCAAATCGGACGGGACGGAGCTGAAAGAACGCGCGTCGGTACTGAGTGATCGGTCGTTCGGTGGACTATTGGATGACGTTTGAGACACGTTTTCTGGGCCATTTTCATGGGAACCACCGGATGCACTCATTCGATTGTGGGAAGATGAGGGAGTTGCTGATGGAAGACTGACACTGCCGGTGTGCGACTGATCGATATTATCCACAAAACTAGAGCTTCCTTCAACGAAATAGCTAAGCCCGCGGGAAAGGCGTGCGGCCCGGCGTCCCTCGCAAGCCTCTCTGCAAACGCTCAAGTAGTCCATCACAAGCATCGAGATAGATCCTAGGGTATCCTTCTCTAGCGGTGTCAATCCATCTCGGGGCTCTGTGTCCAACACGAAGAAACAACCCAAATTGATGTTTTTGTCTGTTGTCAAGGGAGTTCCCGCGAAAAAGCGGAAGTTGGAGTCTTTGTCGACGAAGGAAAGGTGTTTGTAGCGCTCATTTTCGGTCAAGTCGTTCACGACTAGAAATTGGTAGTCCGCATTCTCGCGGTCGTTGGGGGGTAGTGAAACAGTGTCCTGTCGAATGGCGTCAAAATCTAGGAGTCATACTAAGAATACTGGGATCGAATTCGCAATGGCTCCGGATCAGCCAGCTCGTCGAGTGAGCAAAATCTTACCTTGCACACACTCCATGTCTTGCGGGTGTCGGATGCCCCCAACCAGACACCATCATTGTCGTCGTGGACTGACGGATCGTTCAAATTTAGAGATTTTGTGGCTTCGGCAATGATGTATTGTTGGTCACGGTCCAATACAGATATAAACACCCGCTCGACATTCAATCGCAAGGCCGCTAGCTGGGCAAATGACGTCATAGTACTGTTCGAGGTGCCCAGAACGAGAGCTTCTGTCACAGTTGCCGTCGCTGGTCGGGAAGTTGTGCTGTGTGAAGGCATAGAGCCCTCAGAGATCGGTGGAGTGATAGTACTTCCTGAAATTGCAGAAAAGGGAAATCCATCGTTTGTAGGAAGCGAAGATGAGACCACTTCAGCTTGAGAAGCAGGCTGGTAGTAGCGGTAAAGCTCTCTTGCCCTACGATCTGCGTTGTGTAGGCCATGCTCGTGTTTCCTAGGAACTTCCATGGTTTGACGCTAGCGGTGGAAGAGCGAAGACGCAGTTTTGCATCCTCGGACTCCAAATTTCGAGATTAGCGAAGCTATCACTTCAGTGACGACGAAGGCAGGGTGACGAGGGTTGAGAGAGATACAAGTGCACAAAAGAGCTGGTCAATTGGTGTGAGACTGTTGGAGCGATGAGTATGACTGGATTAATCACAAATTTTCGGAGAAAAAGGAAAGTGGGAGTTCGAGATTTAGACACACCATTATCCAAGAACAGCAAGTCAGGTGAATCGCAGATAGTCCTCGAGGGGAAACTGCGTGGGAATTTCGGCATGCAAAGCCGAGATCTCATATGTCAAGGGAAAAATCTGGCGAGGTGGACCAGTGAGGGGAGAAAGGTATAGAACATGAGGAGTGGGCCCGGCGCTCGGTGCACATTGAGATTCGTACATGGAGTACATCTGCTCCACAGCTTCATCGCCTCTCTCGTGGGATTTTCCAGAATCTTGGGATCGGCTCACCAATGTGGTGCAATTGTCGCTGGACCAGCATGTTGACTGGAGCATGATGGAGTGGAAGGGTCCATGGGGCGTCCACTGGGTAGCACCTGTGAGGACATTGTGTGGAGAAAAGTAGGTTTCAGTGGCTTGATGTGGTCCTGTGGCGTCCCAAGACTGTCGATTATTGGCTCACGGCCTCAGGCCACAGAATTTGCCGTGAAGATCAGGCACCCCGATCAGCGCCAAGTGGACCAATGAATCTTCATGATCGCTCAACCAGTAGAAGTTCGTTGGTTGCAAACTTGCTTCATGCTTTGTTTCATGTCGTAACCTTGGAATGTGAGCCATGTTACCTCAGTAACCTCGCCAAGGCCTGTTGACTAGTTAGGGCTTCCACAGGTGTTTCGTCATTCAGAAGAAAGAAAAAAAAGGCTGTGCGTCATCTCTGCCAGGGGGTGAAATTAGCCAGCAAGCCCAATGACGATGGTGGCGAGTTCATGCAGCAGCCATGCAATTAGGCAATCTCTACTTCACTGCCTAAGATTTTGTGGTGGCTATACAAAGCGATCGTCTCTTCCGTCATGGGCCTGAACACCCGAGATGATCGAAGCCTCACCAAATCATGTCGCATTTAACTCTTCCAACTTCTTTGACCTGACTAAGAGTTGTGACCGGTCACGGCACCCCAGATATACGCCACCCACGACCCAAGTATCAACAAAATTAGTATCCCGAAGCAAAATATGGAAATGTTCCGAGTGCGCCGTTGCTGGGTTACTAAGTTGCGCTCTCGGATCCGCTCGATGATAGCCGCACCCGATGTCAACCGTTTATGCCGAGTCCACTGTAGCGGCGCCAGGTTATCAGTCAAAAACGAGCCCATCAGGATAGCTGAACCGACAACCACAGCACCGGCACCAAGAGCCAGATATACCTGCACCACTCGGCGGTATGAGTTGTGATCTGCGTCCTGCAAAGCTCCCGTGATGATCCGGATTACAATGCTCATACTATTACGATTTTCAATGTCAGCTTCTGCGCCAGACCACATTTCAAATGCAGGGATGTTAGATCGATCTTACGCATTGTTCATAGTGACTTTCAATGCATACGCAGATCCAAAAACCGATTGATGCCAGAGTGTGGTGCGAACGCTGTCGATGACTGAGGTGGGTCCGAGGGACACAGCAAGGGCGTAGATGCCAAATGCAGCTCCTGTGCCGGCCGTTGATGTTGCAAAGTTAATGAGAACCATGCTCAACAGCATGCCGAGACCGCAGGCAAATACTAAGGAGATCAGCATCAGTCGTATCCGGCTTGTTCAAGAACCCTTAGGTCAAACTCACATATGGATGCTCGGTTGCCGAGGACATCAATGAAAACGCCCAAGCAGGGAACGAGAAAAAATCCTGGCTTAAGTTAACTTTTATCGAGCCACTTTGACTATGCATTCCTGGTATATCATACCTGCATACTGCGAAAGAGAGCTATACCACCCGGCCTTGATAGAACCGACATTGAATCGCTTCTCGGCCAGCTCAGTGGCATTTTGGCTGAAAACTGATGCGGCAGTCGTTTGGAATGCGGAGAAGCCCAAGACAGCCCAGAACATCCACGGGAGCTCGAATAGCTTTCTAAATTCAAACTTTTTGTTTTTTTCAGTCAGTTGTTCTTTCGTTGCTTTGTCGCGTCGTCCCTCAAAATGGCGGTTGCAATACTGGTTGAAGAACCAGAACGCTGCGCTGGCCGCATTGGTGAATAGGTTCATGAACACCGAGGTCCAGAAGACCCATGCAAAGTTACCGGTTCTCTATGCTTGTCAGCATTTCCTTAACCAATTTCAACACGATTCAACTCGAGATAAGCGAAGAATCACCTTTGCAATGATATTAGCCGTCGAATTACCGACAAACCCGCCTATCTTGCCAATGGCGAGCTCAAAGCCTAGTGTGGATGCAAATCCATTGCTAGGAGGAAACCAAGAAGAAAACATCTTGTACTGCGCGATTTGTGTGGCAATATCGCCGAGCGCGAGGATGACTCGCCCTCCGATCATGAAGTTGAAAGAACGCACGGTCGCGGCGGCAGCAATGAGGATAGAACCGATGGTATAAACGATATTTCCGCAAACGATCATCTCTATCGAAAAGGACTAGTCAGTTTATCTCTCTCCCTGAGTTGACACACTCAGCAACGTACCAGCTCCGCCGACTCGATCGGTGATCACACCACTTATCAAAAGCAGTACCGTTGCCATGAAATTCTCGCTGGCTTCCAAAAGCGAAAATTGAACGTTGTCTATATGCATTTTCTGCAAAACAAACCACCGTCAGTGAATGCTGCGGATCGACGTTTCCATGGCATTTAGTACCTTTTTCATCGTGCTCTTCATAGCACCCGTCACGCCGGAACTCCAGTGGGAGCCAAAGCTGATACAAGATATAAGTGCGACTGCGCACAGCTTTGCCGCAAGGGGTGGTGGCGTCTTTCCATTGGAGTCATCGCTAGAATTATCCGATAGAGATTCTTTCGATAGAGTGTGAATATCTTCAGGGCCAGGCGTCGACACCACGTCCACGGACTTGGGATCTGAAGCTTCAACTGCCATGATCACAACCTGACACCCGAAAAAAATAGCAATTTTATCGGGTTGTGAAAGAAAACAAAGAGCTTCCAAGCGAACCTACTTAAAAAAAACCGTCCAAGCTATGACTACTTGTGGGATCTCGGAGATTGATAAAAGTCTAACAAGGTGGGGCCCTGCAATTCAGTGCTATGGTGAGCTGATCCCAGAAAGTATCAATGCTCCTTGGCCAGTTCACGCACGTAAGGAGGCCGAGCAGAAAGTCCTCTTGGCGATTGGCAAATCAGATAAGATGGTTACAACAAGTTTGAGGGGGGGGATCCCAAAATAGTTTAGCCTTACGCACAAACTCCAAGTCGGGGCAACATCGGTGAATTTAATCTTCTCAGCTTTCTATAACGCAACTATCATCGATCAAAAAAGGCCTGCTCGGGCCCACGTGGAACCCCAAAATTAAATTCACTTCTCGGCTTCTCTCCGAGCGGTGGCTATGCTCTTGTTTTTGCTCCCGTTTAGACCCTATCGGATTCGCAAACAGGTGTCACGGTGCGAACCGTGATGCTTAGTAAGAGGAAGATCACGGCACGTGATTTCCGACCTGTTTATCTGAACTTCAGTTCTAGATCCTGTTGTGGCTCTTCGAGCTACGTCTTGTACAATAGCCTGCCCCTGCCTGTACCTGTCAATGGGAATCTGATCTGTTATGACCTGTTCCTACCAGTCATCTCCTATCATACCGTCCTGCCAGCCCGCACCCTGACACTGCGAAAGCTTATTTCTAACCTCGGTTAGAAAATTAATAGTGGAATTTGTGACGATCTGGGAGGATTTCTGCCGGAAGTTTCCGTATTGACGAGGTTTGTATTGTTTGATTGTTGGATCGTGACAGGACCCCATAAAAGGTTCCTGTCTCGCAGGTTTCTTTCTATCCTTCTTTCTTCTTCTTTCTCTGTACTTAGTATTCTCGTTGAAATGCACTCTTTTGTTTAAAGAACTGGCTGGCAACAGAATTAAGTTATTATATATCTATTTAAATTACTTAAAAACATAGAGAAAAAATGTATAAATAATGTATTTCACGAGGTTAAGAAATTCTACTTGTTACTAAAAAGGCCCACGGGCGTCTACGACGCCTAAGGCCCGTGGGTAGTGCCCACCCGCCCGTCCAAGGGCGATGTCGCAGTCTAAATAGAGGTATATAGAGAGTGTTAAATTTAGTTCGTTAAATCGGTGGGCTACTTCAAGAATTAAAGATATTTCTTATTTCTTGAAAGCCTAGATAGCTAGTAAGGTCCTACCATCTTACTCCATTAAATTTTAAGAGCTTCGAGAGCGTATTAGTGGCATAATGGGTGGTTAAAAGAGTAGGGTTTAAATTAATTGATACGTTTTAGTGGGGGTGTCTAGCTCGGGAGTGAAATACGTTAGGCCAAAAGATCACAAAGACAAACAGAACGTCTGTTTTGTCATTCCAGCGGCATATATAGTAGGTCCTAACATTCATCAGGGACCACATCTATAAGCTAAACAAGCACCGTCTACAGCTGCGCATGTTTACCGGACTTCTAGATATATCCATGGATACTTGGGAATAGGCGTAAGCATGAAGAGAAACTACACACCGACGGCAGGTAGGAGCACGGTGCATGAGCTATCGGCATCATGTCGGTACACGATGAAAAGAGAGAGAAAAGGTTGCTTCCGTTCGTCATACTGGAAAATCCACCTACTTTTCTAGAACGCAACTTGACAGGCGGGATCACACAATCAAGACTCACGTGTCTGCCCCGGATGTTTACATCCGGGAAATTAGTCGTAACAGTTGCCTAAGTTGTACTAGATGTGTCTTGGTATCCCAATTGAGAGATTCTTACAGGAGATACTACATTTAAAAAGGGTCTCAGAGACGGGGGAACCATGTTGAGAAAGACAGTATCAACAAAGCCAATAGGATATTCAGCACAAAAATCATTTCCTTTTCCTATTAGAGCGAAATACGTCCGGAAATTGTTATAAGAGAAGCCAGTTTCCCCTACTCTGTGAACTATCAACATACCATCCGAAGAAGCATTTTCAAATTTCTTAACTATGGACTACGTCACCGCCAGCCTGCGGGCATTGTTTGAAGGCCTTGATGGCCATGAGTTAATTATTCCATCAAGAGCGGAAACTAACCCTGGCTGGGAAGTCACGGAACATGATCTAAGCAACAAGAGCATAAAGGCCGAGCTGACTAGCTGGGTTGAAAGGTACTCTTCAACAATTTTTCTCCCGGGAGCTCTCTACTGAAAAAAACGACCTTAGTTGGTGGTCAGATGGCCCAAACCCAGCAATGATTGAAGCCCTCAATCTACCAAATTGGGTTGCATTGTTGTATCCTAATGTGAAGTATGAAAAGCGTCTCACGATAGCGAAGAGCCTGTCTTGGGTAAGCGCCACCATGCTTGAATCATTCGTCCTTAACTCTAATTGACTAGATCTTTGCTTGGGATGAACCCCTTGACGATGGAGAATTCACGCACGATCCTGTTGGGGCTATCAATTACTGCAACGAGACTATCAAATTCATGGAACTTCTTCGTGATCCAAGTCAAGTCTCGTCCGCATGTCATCCTAATCCTAACATCGCTTCATTCAAAGACTCATTCGTGAGCATTTGGGAGAGTCATCCAGGTACGTTTAGTGCTAACTACACGTGAACATAAACCTAATGAGGATTTTCAACACAAGTGTGCACTGGGCGTTACCTTGACGAGTGCTTGCGCTTTGTGCAAGGAACATCGGAAGCAGTTGGACGCCGGGAAAAGAACCAGGTTCCCACACTGGCCGACTACTTTGATTGGAGAGTACTTAATCTTGGCTTTGAGATATACTTCACCTTGGTCGAGTATGACGAACTCCCCTCATTTTGCCCCTATGAAAATCTTCTTGAGGCTTATCTCACTGCATTTGCAAAATGCTAATGAATTCTAGGTACTCGCAAGATCTTAAGGTCCCAGACGAATGCTCTAAACCGAACGTGTTCACGCAGATTATCTTCCGAGAGGCCTCTTTAATCCTATCTGTGTCAGTACCTACAAAAAAAAAGCTCACGGACCGTGAACTGACTGTTTTTTTCAGGTACAATGACCTTCTTTCCCTTCCGAAGGAACTAGTATGATTCCCTGTTAATCTAATGACTCTTTCTTTTTTCATTTTTTTGGCTAACTTGAAGAAGGATGCAGGTCAATTTGAGAGCTGTGTGCCGATCAAAATGTTCGAACTTGGACTGTCATTGGACGAAACTATTAACAGCTTTGGTCAAATGATCCACGAGTGTGCAAAACGATTCAATAAAGCTGAACAAGACTTGTATAGTCACACCAGCCCCGATAGTTTGGCTGATGTGCAGGCATTTGTGCAAGGCATCAAGCAGCAAGTCGTTGGCACCAATAAACACTTGTAATACACCTCTTATCCCCAACATTGATCGATAACTAATTACTGCTGGTAGCTATTCCATGGACCGATATGTTCGCAAAGGTGTCAACCAACCGGATGGCTCGATCAAGTTCAAAATAGCGTTGGAACAGTGATTGACTTTGTCGGTGGAGGGTGAAACTATCGCGCTGAGGACTGAGTGAATTAAATGTTACTATGCAGTTTTGTGTCGAAATCTGGAAATATCGGAAGCATGGTGCCTACCAATGCGCACCATACAACATCAGTACAGGTTCGACGGAGGTCTCTCAACAGGTCTCCACTTACTTCTACATGTGTATCGAAGAGAAATTTCGGAAGTAGCTCCAGCACTATTCAGGGAACTCAAGCATTTTGCATTTTTGACACTATCAATTATTCCTCCTTTGTAAAGATTCTTTCTTGAAGACTTCTGGTTCGTGGTCAGTCAAATGTTCTGTGTCGTAAATTTTTCCTCGTTTTCCGTGTATCTAGACGCCATCCATTGCTTTCAGACAATTGATGGAGTGCGGTAGTCTATGCCAAATGCGAAACTACAGCATGAACTTCAGAGCTACATGGATATGTAATTTGTGTCACCTATCTGCACAAACGACCCTTCTAGACTATCAGTGCAGATCACACCTCGAATGCCATGCATTTAGTGTATATGGATTTGGTGAGTCACAAGTTGTGTGTAACACAGGATGGGCTAAGAAGGGCTTTGGGGTATCACATAATAATACCAAGTGGAAGAGATGGAACCCCAGATGGGACTTTGAACAGCCCCGAAGTCTTCTATCTATCTGATATTTGGATGGTTGAGGTCGAATCATCTTTCAACAAGGCCACAGGCAGCCTTTGCCTACACTCTGAGATTTGATTGAAGATCACAGGGGACCTTGAAGAACCAGCTTTGGGAGGCAGATAGGCCTCTCCAGTCTGTTCGAAAGCTCCCGCTGTCAACGACCTCAAGATAGGAAATCGGAACAAGACGTCTCAAACATTTGCAACCTTCCAAAGTGTAAAAAAAAATCAACGCAAAAAGAAAAAAAAACGAGATGCAATGCAAAAGAAATTCCACCGATTTTGAATGAGCCAAGTTAAAGGCGTTCCATAAGCCGCTTGCGCACTGTCCACATGCGAGCGCGTTTGCCGTAAATGTACATCGGAATCGACATGAGCATGAAGAAAATCTGGATACCGCCGATGGACAGGAACACGGTGCGTGAACCATCGGCATCAAGCCAGTCCACAATGAAAAGGGAGAAAACCAATCCGTGGAGGATATCTGCAAAAAGAAGGCGTTAAATCAAACAGAACAAACGAGGAAACAAGTCATAGTGCAACATACTCTTACTAAAGTTCAATGTCACTAGCGCCTCGCCGGCATACTGGCGATAGCTGTCGACACAAAAAGTGATAGCAGTCGTGCTGCCCAAGCAACAACCAAATGAGATCAAACCAAAGAAAATAGTCGGAACAATCCAAGAGTCACCGATTTCAGCACTCCACCCAAAAGCCATCAGACCGATGACCGTAGACAAAGCGATAGGAATTGCCATAACGAGACGGAATTCAGGCTCGTAGATACCACCATTGCGTCTGGTCATAAACCGCGTGATGATGTCGGAAACTTTGCCCGCCACTGCGGTTCCCAGGAGACCACCAACAAACGGCGAAATGTAGATCAGGCCTGTGTGCAGCGCGGTGAAATTGTAGTGAGCTTTGCTTTCAAAGATATGTGCAACCGACTCCGAAAGTACAATCAGCCAGCCCACCGATAGTGAGTATACCACTGTTGACCAGAGCACAGCTGGGTAGGCGAATAGGACAAATGGTCGCGCGGCGACTCGGTACCAGCGATCTTGTGCAATGCGTCCGTTCCAGACTCTAAGCAATTGGGAGTAGGGGATCTTCGGGCGCTCGCGGAGTCGGTTTGTGTACTGTAGAGTTGCCGTCAGCGGTGTCTCGGCAGGCTCCAGAGACTCTGTCCTCGCGGGTGATGTAGCAGTAGACCGAGCTGTCTCCAGGTCATTTGGGTGTGCGACAGGCAAAAGAGCATGAGGTAATGGTTGGAGGTGGTCATCATCTTTCTCATTGACTGAGGTGGATGGTTGAGTAGTGATTGGATCACCAGTGGTAGCATTGCCGGCCTCGGAAACGAAATCCGAATTCTCAGTTTCAACTACCTGGTCCCCGTCTTCTGGGCGGTTATCCGCAAATCCAACATGTGCATTCTTGGATTTTTTCGGTGCCAATGCTGGATCTGAATGGGTCTGTTCGGTAGACTCGTCCAGGGGCTGAACATACGGGTGCCGCCCGCGGAAGCCATGGGAAACGAGGTCAGAGACACTTCGACTAGGGCGCTTATGTTTGTGCACACGCGGACGGGGTGTGCGATCCCAAAAAGTTTCGGGCACGAATAAAAACAGCAATACTAGACACATGCCTACAACCATGGCAACAATCCAGAATACCCAGCGCCAGCCCAGGCTTTCGATGATGGCGGCACTCACCAGGGGGATCAGATTCTTTCCGCCTAATAGCAAGAGTGTGTAAATCCCCACTCGATAGGCTCTTTCGTGCAAGAAATAGATCTCTGCAATTGTAGCAGATGGAAGACACTCAACTGGACTCACGGCAAATCCTTGGAAAATTCGAGCGATCACGAGACTTGGGTAATTCGGTGACGCTGCACACCAAATTGCCGAGACCACGAACAGGATGGCTCCTAGGAGATAAACCGGTCGTTTCCCGTACAGAATGGCTGTGGGTGACATCACAACGGACCCTAGGCCTAGGCCTAACATATAGAACCCGGTGGTGAAAGCCACCTTTTGCGTACTAACATCGTACGCAGCTGCAACTTTATTGAAGCCCGCTGCCAAAATGGGGGTCATGCCGCCTCCCATCAAACAATAGAAGCCGAGCGAGAGCAATGCAGTATCTCGTTGCCATACAGGCCAGTTCAGAGGGTCATTAACGGAGTCGTCCGGTTGGGGATCAAGCACAAACTGCCCGTCTGCCGTTCTCTTCTGCGTTGGAATCACCGACCGGGTTCGAGAATTAGATCGCGAGGGACGATAAGATGAGCTTATAGATGATGTCGAAGTCCGATGCGGTTGGTGTCTCATTCCCAAAGGTTCATTGCGATTTGCTGATAAAAGAAGCACCGTTCCTAAACCATGCCAGTCAGTTGTCAGTCCCCGTTTCACCAAACAGCTTCTCCCGATGGGGGGAGGATTCTCTACTAACCAGGAACTTCGTCGGTCTCTCTGTCACTTAAGATTCCCAATGTTGATTTGGCGCGATAATTCTGACCCTCGCTAAACTCGGGATCTTCTTTGGTCTTTCCTCCAAAGACTCGTCTCCAGCGCGAAGCAGCTGGCTGCTGGAGAACAGGCTCTCCCCCCGTGATGCTCTCCATTGAAGCAGAACGGTCTTCTGCTGGTGATGACATGCGTTATTTGTGAACTAGGAACGAAGCATTCAGCCAATTCCGTTTGCGTTTGCGAAACAAGTGTGCTAAACATGCCATTATTAGCCAGTCTAATGCATCTGCGCAACCAAAGACAACCCCCCAAGGTCCCTCGGGGGCACTAGGGAAGTCACTCACATCTATCTCAGATAACCAACAAGAGAAATCGGAATCCAGTGCCAAGCCAAAAAAAAAGATAGATCTATACCGCCGGCAAAAACTAACAACTACAGACGACGTGCTAGTAGCAACAAGATGATTTCCCCACAAGAGAATAGGTAAAGAAAATGTCGCTGGGTATTGCGAAGACGATCAATGCTTCTGGATCAACGCATCAGGCAACAAAATGAGCACCACTTAAATGCATAGCTTAACAACCCGAGAAAGACGAGGAGCGCAGTAGAACAGAAGGAGAGATCTGTAAATGGCAGAGAATTTATAGTGTCTTAGCGTCTTGCTTATTCTATGCGATAACCTCTTAGGTATCTCAAGCGGTAAATGGTGGAAAACACCAAAAAAGTAGACACAGACCAGCCAAAAAAAAAAAAAAGGTAGATGTGATCGACGATCTCATGAGGCGGGGGAGGGGAGGCGGTGAGATACCTGAGGGTACTCCACTGAGTACCCTGAGTGTCGTGCGATTGCCAAGGTTAAGTCAAGTGGCCTTCGAGGTACTCCATCCTCTATATAACATGCAATTTTTCTGATATTGTTGCGGATCCCATCTGCGTTATAACTGCTGAAAGGTCCAAATACGACGCAGGGCTCGGTAAGCGCACCGTTCTCGGGCAATCGTACATATGCATGTTGTACGCTCCCTGCAGAATGTCCAATGGCCCGCGTCGACATCCTTAGGCTACGCTTATCACACCAACAAAAGCAATGATACTAAACTTGCTGATCGCAAACACCGATCGAGAATCTATCAGCAATCTACTCTGTACAGAGTACAGGGAACATTAACCGCGCTCGAATCTTCCCTATCGCCGAATGCGACCGGCCAATCCTGGCGTATGCCAAGCCTCTGAAATCCGGCTCTTATCGCGAGTTTCTCTTCGCGTGGTCTGCCCGTCGGTAGACATGTCATGTCTTTCGAGGAATATTGGTGTCGGTCACTACTTGAGTAATGCCGTAAAGGCTCCAAAATTCTCTCATCTGACCTGCAGGAAGTGTTGAAAGCTGTCACTGTGCAGATTTACGATTGCGGGGGAAAAGGAGCCCCTGCTCTAGTATTTCCACGCCGTGTTATCTCCTCTTGAGCACGCATGGCGTTTAAGCTCGCATGGCTACTGATCTGCAACCTTATACATCACGTTAAAAAGAGAAACCCCCAACAAGCGAGTTGTCTCCGACTTTGGAGAACGACACCTGTTCGTTCTCGGAAAAGACAAACTTGTTTAATGGTTCTTTCAGTTGGGAGAATGCCATTTATCTAACTTGAAATCAGTATCTGCCCTTCTTGTTAGTGAATCTCTATTAACCCTGGCCAGTCAAACAATTACTCTAGATGCGTGTGTAATGCCAATGCACCTTATCATCTACTATGTTATTCTGACACCCGAAGTGATCTTGCGCTTTTTTAGAATCCAATTTCGGATACCTTTTCAGTGTACATCCAACCACTGCGCCTAGCAGCTCCTCGTACTTGATCCCGTG